GTTGAAGTACTCCTTCAACTTTGATCTAACGAATACATTCAATCTAAATAGAATGTTAATGAAGGGAAAGTTTTTTATATGAAATGCAAAATAATACTTGGTATTTCTTATGCAACTTAAAGAGTTAACAAATGATATATGTTGGTTGCAGATCAATAATCATGTCCTTATTGGATCAATAAATATATTGGGATCAATAAATATATTATATCAATGTGTCCCTTGAGATCTCAAAGGACCACAAGTATTACTTATGAAGAATGTCTCAACGAAACAATTCAAGAATTCAGTGTATAAAATATTCATCAAAATTAATATACATGTATATTTTTTTCATATTTATTTTCACTGTTATTCACAAACAAGTCATTATCCCATCGAACAAAGTTTGGGGGATATAGAAAATGTCTCCAATCTCCATCCGTATGTCTGTCTGTGGAACTAAAATATAATTGGCCCAAATATTGTTTATATTTTACACGCATATGCTTTATGTAAGTCCAAGTTTTGCTCAAAAACCAATTAGAAGGGTTAAGTTTAAGCTGCTTTATTTATGAAGTTTAAACCACTTTGGCTTACATTTTAGTCCTACCCACTGTTATGAAAATGTGCTGGATGAAACTTTTCAATTTAATTTCAAAAGTTGTTTTAACTGAAGGACTTTTGATTAAAAAGATCGTGAATTTCAAATAAAATTATGAATATTAAATGAATTTTAGTTAGTCCAAACAGACCCCAAATATTTCAGTAGGTATGAAAACAAGAAGAACAAATTATTTAATGGATATACAAATCAATGGCACCAAAAAATTAAGATATGATCTATTTATTGTTGGTTCAGATTCTATGGTGCTATGAAATTTCAAAAGGTTGTTATGGTAATACCTCCATGTAGAGTCTGTGCTGCCAAAAAGACAAGACTATATAAAAATAAAATAAGCAATAGCCAACAACAGAAGTCAAATGTATTCCAAATTATCAGTATTAGGTTATACATGTGTACCTGGTCGCACCTCAGCCTTTTACTCTATCTTTAACCTGAAAGTGACATGGCTAGGCATATCAATTTTCCCCAGATGACCTTAGGCTCATAAGGAGATGTATAAATTCATGTTGAAAAGCAGAAATATTAATGTATTTTGAGGCATTCGTCAGCTTTCTCCTTGATCTTTCTGTATATCTTTCTTGATAAAAAGATAAACATATCTAGTTACACAGGGAATGGTTTGGTTGTTTAAGAATAATAAAAAATAAAATAAAATAAATTCCCCCAAAATAGAAAAATTTAAAATATACTTTTTCTTTTATTTTTTTTTAGATTTCATATCAACCAAACTTTCCTTGTTTAAAGGGGCAACAAGGCCTGTAGAGAGTAAATTCGAAACTTGTTACTTTTTCTGAGCTAATAATGGCAACATTTGGCTTAACATCTTCTCTGACAAACTATTTTCTTAAAATGTATAGATGAAATTTATTTCAGCATTAAGAAGTGTAAATTCAGTTCAAAGCTTCTATAAAGGGAGTCCCACTTATAGATTTTTAAGATCCATCACGTTTCAAGAGAAATATCAGCTGAAATAATGTTCATCCAGGGGGTTTCTTTGGAGAAAATAAAAATATATGTTAGTCTTGATGAAATATCCAAACTTAAATATATTTTGACACTGGTCCATGATTTTTGAATGGCCCCTTTGCACTAATTGTTGCACTTTTGACTGCAATATTGAGAGAACTAAGAACATTGTGTTTATGTCATTTTATCCAATGAGGAGGGGAAAGAATTACTTGATTCATTTCTTTCCAAACTTATGGTATCATGGACAAGACAGTGGCTGGTTTTCCAAAAAAGATTTATATGAAAAATATAAATATTTTTCAAATGAAATTGTTACCATTCAATAGATAACCATTGCATTGACGATGTAACATTTATTTGAATTTTTGATTACTGGTTTAAGAGAAAAAAGAAAAAACATTGTTTAAATTTAAGACTGTCTCATCAACACTGGCAATTTGGTAATGTTTTAAAAGCCATTTGCAATTCTGAAAGTCCTCCTCTAAATTCATTCCTATATGATTGCTTAATAAAATGGCATAAAAGGGATTTTTGAATCTGGGTGCTTAATATGGTGAATACGGTATGTTCATTTAGGCCCACCAGTTGACCTCTAGAGCCTCTCAGCAGTTAATCCACCTGTAAAGTAAATATTGAGCTCTCCTCATATACTTCACTTATTAAATACACCTGATAACATGGCTTTGACTACTCATAATGTTCATATTGTTGATAATGCATTTTTAAGTAATTTTAATTGGAATTTTAAGTAATTTTAACAAACCATTTCAAAGTAAACAGAAATTTAGGAAAAAGCTTAAAATAACATTTTATTTGAAATTTAGCAGACTAGTACCAACATCAGATTAGGATTTTGGCATGCTGGGTAATTTACGTGGTGGCCATTTTGGATTTGTCAGTAAATCTTGTCATCACAATTTCAGTGAAACCACTTATCCATTCAAAAAAAAAATTACAGATGCAAGAAATAGAGCACACTAAAGTGCCAACATCTGATTAGGTTTCGAACATTCATGTAAAAAATATCATGATATCATAAGACTTAGGCATTCTGAATTCTTAAAGGATGTCCCCTGCATGACAAAGTTGAAAACGATGAACACAAGACCCTAATTTTTACATGGGGTCCAACATACCTAATTTTGTCAAATATTACACTTTAACAGCTTCTAGCTAAATTAGAATCTCAGAAAATATATTTGAGAAAAGGTTAAATACCATTTAAAAATATAAAACCTCCAGGGAACATCCTTAAATCTTGTCATCAAAATTCAAAGAAACACACTTATCTACATGTATCTATGTAATTTGAAATTTTTACAAATGTAAGAGCAGACTATATAGTGCCAAAATTGAATTAGGTTCTGAATTTTTGACAGAATGACTAATTGAACCAATTTCAAGAAATCTGCTCTCTAGTTCCATGTGAAAGTTTTACAGGTGTGAAGGCAAACTAGTGCCAAAACCTGTGAGTCAATAAAAGATATATATATGTTGGGCATCCTTGGTTAATTACTTTATGACCATTTTGATTTTTCATGATGAAAAGACAGTTGGACATCTATCACTATGTATCTTGTTTTAGTATAATTAATCAAATGGCTATTTTATTAAATTTTTATTATTATTTGAATATTTATACACTATGGAAAATATAATGAATTTATATTTTGAATTAATATTTTGAAAGTCTTAATACTGCATATCACAGAATTCATTACTTGTGGGCAATTGATAGTTTCTTGTATTGTGGTTAGAAATATCTTGAGACCTGTGGTATATATTATCACTCTACTATACCTAACCCCTAGAAATGCATAAGATACTCTCTTTGTCTAATTGTATTGTTTAGTATATTTTTGAAAGTACCTTATTACACCTAACAGTCATCAGATAAACCATTAATAAGGAACAGACAAATAAAAACAATTAACATAATCATTACTAATAAGCCAAAATGGTTGCTCATGAACACCAAAAGCAAGGTATAATAGAGTGATTATGTACAGTGTTAAATTGTATAAAATAGAATGGACATCATTCATATTTTGTACTACATTTTACCTACAATATATACTGACACACCAAATATGTACATTAACAATACAATAACATGATATCCTCATACCAAATAGTAATTAGAGTAAAATACTGTAACAGGTGTGAAGATAGTTTATTGATAGATATTTCCCCAACCTTATATATTTATATGTTCTATCAAAAAAGAGATTTGAAATCAGAGCTGTGTAATTTTTCACAGATTATCAAAATTCATATTATTAGCCCATCAAATAATTTTGGGAGGATATAAAGAATGACACCATCCGTCCATCTGTACATCCATCCATCTGGGCAATTACTCAAATACTGTATGACCAATATGATTTATAGTTTATAAGTATATGCTCAATGGGTGTACAGGTTTGATGCTTTTTGATAAAACTGTTTAAGACTACAAATATGGGTCAAGATGGCCCTTTCTCCAGGGTTGCCATTTTCTAGTTAATCTTTACAAAGTTCATAGAATCTATATCAAAATGTTTCTTAAAATGGTAACAAAATCTTAAGTTCTTATCTAAAGTTGATTAATCATTCAAAACTTTAATTGTGATTTATGATCTTATAGTACACAATCATCAATGAATCGGTCACTAGCTCTTGAAAGCTTGACATAATTCAAATTGTCAGTTTAATCCTATAATAAAATGGTGTCTTTAAGTATTTGTTATAGTTTTGACTCTTGTTTGGATGTTTACATCATCTCTATTGAGGAAGACAACCTTAATGTTGTTGCATTAATACATTGATATTAATTATGTCAAATGATCAACAGGGGGGGGAGGCATGAAAATCAAAAGGAAGGGAGGGGGCCCTAAAATTACAGCAGCACAGAAATGATTTTGGGCCCCAATTTTGAAATTAATGCCAGTTTGTTTCCTAAATTGCCTAATGTATGTAGGATTAAGCAGATTTTGGGCTTCAATTTCCATAATATAATATTTTATTATCCCACTTATCAAAATGTGGTAGGGATAGAGAAGCCTCCTATCTGCCCATACCTTTGTTCAGCTGTCTGGGCGATAACTCAAATACCAGTTGATGAATTTGCTTCATATTTTATGTACCATCAGCTCGTTATTATGTAATGAATTGACTGTAATTTTTTGTTTTTAGTAATTCATTTTTATGAATAGTTACTATTAAATGAAATATGCACTTGTACTCTTTTTAACTGCTGCACTAGTATGAACGAAGTGCTCCTGTTTTAAAAGTGAATGCAAATAAATTAATATAATAGATAATAATATAATCTGTTGTTTTATATTCAGTCCATTGTCCATCCCTATTACTCATCTTCTATATTATGCATGAACCATTAATGTACCAAAAATAACGTATATTTCTTCCTGTAATGTGTTTGTAGGTAGACCAAGATGGCAATGGATATATCAGTTTAGATGAGCTGGACACAGCATTAAACATATGTGGCTTCAAGCTTCCTGGATATGAGGTCAGGAACCTGGTTGATGAGTATGACAAGAACATCAAAGATGGAAAATTAGATTTTGAAGAATTTAAAATGGTAAGTATTATGAACATCTTATGATGACGTTTAATGAGATAAGCATTTTGAAACAAAATAATGAAATCATAGAGTAAATAATAAAATGGAATAAAAGTCTTTATTCATAAATAAAGAGATATTGTATCTTTATATGCTTAACCCCTCAATAAGAATAGTTTAAACTTGTTCAATTCAAACTCTTAAATTGAAATAAGTGCATGCATTTAATGTTTAGAATGTACTGATATATTCTGCGTGATCAACTCACATTTCTTGGTTTAACAAATGTTACATTTTAGAATATGCTATGAGATGCAACATGGTCCATTTTTCTAACCTGAAAGCTATCTAACTACAACAAATGAGACCCTGTTGTCATCCAAACTGGCTTAACTGTATTCTGTTTATGGATATAAGGTGGGCCCAGTGGGACAAATTTGGGATTTGCTTGCAACTGACATGGGGTCATTTGCCCAAGAATTTTTCCTACCTGGACTACCTTAACCTCTTTATTAATATTAGTTCTAACTGATAATATTTATGGCATATTTTATTGTCCAGTCTGTAGTAATAGTGCTTATCATGTAAAATATAGTAGCAGACAAGTAGCGCACGATTGTATGCCAGTGAAACACAATTCAATCAAGTCGCATGTCTGTCACTTATTTTACAATACTCAATTTTGTATCTCACTTTAGTTTAGGAATACATTCAGTTTTTAATATTTAATTTCAATTCAATTATTTGTTCAAAATATTTCATGGTTATCATAGACACCAAAAAATATATTTGACTGTTTTGATTTTTATTTAAGTATTTTGTAAGTTTCTTTCAATTTATATACCTGTTAAAGGCTTCTTATACATTTGTAAAAATTGGCCAAGTTCTTATTAGCATTGTATAATATGAGGTTATATAATGGTTCTTTCTGTATATCGTTTTTATACTCGAGTGAGTATATGATATATTCACGAGTGAGCGTAGCGAACGAGTGAATATATTATATTCTCACGAGAGTATAAAATGCACTATATACAGAATGAACCATTATATTATCTTATTATGCCACTCTAAGTTCAATTACAGTTGATTCGAACACAATCATAACAATTAAAAACCATAAAAATATCCCATAGCCAACTCAATAATGCTGATGTTGATCTCGAACCATTTATGACGTCACTTGATTCTAGGAAATCATGAACATTTTCATGATTTTTTTATTCATTAGTTCCCAGAATGCACTTCTACAGTGGTATACGCTGGAGTGTATACGGAGGAGTTGTATTCGATGATGATATACCACTCTCCACTGTATATCGTTGTTATAGACCCATGTTATACAACTGTAATTGGACTTAGAGTGGTATAAGCAGCTCTACATACAAACAAAATTGTTTTCTATCCATATAGCCAAATGGAACATGGAATATTTCCTAATATATAGGAAATATGACGCTGGGAAATACATTTTATCACCTACATAACTAAATGTAAAACAAAGATAAGTGTACAATGGCATTCTCAGAGCTGTCAAGTGTCCCGCGAATGGCGGGATTATCCCGCGAATTTGATCAAAATTAGGCTAATTCGCGTGTCCCGCATTGTCCCGCGAAGTCCCGCAAAATGTGGCTTTGACCTCCGCGAATTTCCGAAATTGTTGCAATCCCCTATATTTTGATTATCTTATCTTATATAAGAAGCTAAGTTTTTGCACTTTTGAGGAGTAAAGTTTACCTAATTTTAAGTACCTAGCATGCTGTTGTTTGGTATCAAAATAAAGGGGAAGGGTTCAACTTTCATTTTAATTACGAAAATAGGGATGTAGGTATCAAATAGTTCCAACGTTGGCCTTTTACTACCCGTGTGGCCTTCATCTCAGAACTGAGCAAATGTTAGCAAACGCGAGTTACAATAAATGTACGCTGATATCTAGAAAGGGTTTGTATAAAAAACCGGTTACCGGGTAGTAAATTCACCATGCTGGGTTCAAACTTGGTACCCGGTACGCGGTCAAAAAAAATGGGGACCCAAAAAACGAAAAATACGAATATATAACATAATTAGAATATTATGAGAAAACGTGTAAGATTTGTTTTGAATTTGCAAAAATGTATGTATTACATGATTCAAAATTGAGCTAGAAGCTTCAAATAAAAAGCATATTTTAAGGCACTTTTCTTCCTCTATCGTTATGGCCATATTTTCATTGGTTATGGGGGGGGGGTGCGATCGCACCATCGCACCCTCTCCTGGCTACGCCTATGACATTGTAAGACATAACAATTTACAATTCAGTGGACATTTTGTCATGAATTGGGATAACTTAAATTATGATTAATAATCAAAATCTTACACGTTGCATCATGCAAATTAACACACGTCACCTCTCTGCTAAAGCAACGATGGCTATTTACAGATTTAAATCATAATCAAAACAATTCACGTACCAACATACGAACTATTGAAAATAGAGTAAGATTGATTTGTCTTGTTTTTCAAATCGTCTTACAATGTCATTGGCGTAGCCAGGAGGGGGTGCGCACCCCCCCCCCTTCATTACCAATGGAAATATGACCAAGATGATAGAGGAAGAAAAGAGCCTTAAAATGCTTTTTATTTGAAGCTTCTAGCTCAATTTTGAAGGAAGTTACATACATTTTTGTAAATTCAAAACAAATCTTACACGTTTTCTAATGATCTAATTATGTTGTGTATTCGTATATTTCGTTTTTGGTTTTTTTTCGACCGGGTACCAAATTTGAACCCAGCATGGAGGATTTACTACCCGGTACCCGGTTTTTTATACAAACCCTATCTAGAAAATTAACCCGGCTCATTCCCTATAATTTGATGTAGATTAATCGAACCCCTATATCATGGGCTTTCAATTGAAAGCCCATGCCTACAGTATATGAATAGGTACATTTTAATATATAACATTATGGGGGTAAGCGTTTCATAGTTGGTCACGACGCCAGAAGTGCAAAGTATTGTTCCGAATTTTTGAATTTCGTGTTAGATTACGGTAATCACACCTGAAGCATGGTTTTTGTTTTTGATAAATTACAATAAAGTTTAATAATATTCCTATGCGTATTTTGTGAAATTGTGTTGACGTTTATTTAAGTTACAATGTAACGGTGCATTATATTTGATTAATCAGTATCTGAAAGTTTGATTTAAGTACTTCTACACGCTTTTACATTAGTCCCAATCACGCAAATCCCTTGAATGTCCCGGGACATCCTGCAAATTTAGGTGGATGTCCTGCGAAATCCCGCAAATTTAGGGCACTTTGTCTAAAAAATCTGTCCCTCTATGAAGTTTTTGGTGGTACACCTGTTATATATATATATATTTCTTTATTGCGACCATAATTGATCATCATAATATACATTAATTTATGTTAACATATATACAAACATTTAGGTGAACAATACAAGGTCGGGATGATATTTACAAAATGGCGTTTGTTCGATGTTGATACATCGCATACAAAGTGTTAACAATAAATATACAGTCATCCTGCTCATCTGGAGCGAAGATAAAGGGCAATACGCCATCCCCATATTTGTCAATAAGGGGTTTTAATAATAATCGACGACTCTTAAGTTCAGTACAATCCTTTATAAAATGAATTAATGTTTCACACTCTCCACATAAAGGACACAATCTATTTTCTTTAGCTTCTGCATACCTCCCAATGGCTTCCCCACCAGCAGCCGTACCATAAACTTACATTTGAAAATGAGATCAGGCCTAAATTTACATAATTGGTACCATATTATTGGAACTCGATTACTGACGACATCTCTGTACGTCTTAATCTTAGTATACATCATGCATTTTAGATGCCATCTATTTATGTAGTAATTGGATACAGCATTTTTAGAAATTTTCTTCCAATGATGTTTTTTGGGGAATATACCTTGGTCGATATAGCTCTTCATTCTATCTAAGAGATTAAACCTTGTACCTAGTTTGATTATTTCAGCTATAGGCGAAGACACTGACATCCCTACGATACATATTTTAAAAAGTAGGATGTACCATCTAGCAATACTCACAGCTTTACATTGTCCAGCACAAGTGTTAAATATATGCCAAAAGTACATGAGTTTCTTCATTGCAATAACTTCACTGATGTCACACCAGCCTATCTGTGACAAGGATGCACAATCTGTTGTATGTTTTGGTAAACCTTGAATATGTTTAGCTGTTTGAGTATGGAAACGTTCTAGTTTACCCAGGCTGGAGTCATTGTATTCAAGAACCTCTGCTCCATAAAGAACAGTGGGAATTGACACTGCCCAGTACAGTTTGGAAGCTGATAGGGGGTTTACAGTACAATTTTCAGGAGTTATACAGTCGACTGTAGCATATAAATTCCTTCTACCTTTAGAAATACCATTCTCAATGTGGTAACCAATGTCTCTCTGTGTAACAGGTAGACCTAAATGAACAAGTTCATTTACAATGGCAATGTTGTCTATACTGAAATTAAAAGGGAGTACGTCTTTATTCCTCCCTTTAACAAAATGAACTGCAGAGCATTTTTTGGGATGAATTTGAAAACGCCACCTATTGGCGTAGTTGTAAACTATATTTAACATTGATTGCATGGTATTTCTAAAAGACGAAATTAAAATGGTGTCATCTGCATAGGATGGAGCACAACATGACATCCCTCGTATAGCACAGCCTAGCCCAGAGTTAACGAGCTCTTCCAATAAGGGATTCATGAAACGTACATATAATTCCATTGATAAAACCCCTCCCTGATGAACGCCCTGACTTACAATGAATTTTTCACTACATTTGCCCTTTACTAACTGTTAACTGTCCCGCAATTAGGGTGTTTGTCCCTCGAATGGTCCCGCGAAATCCCGCGAATTTGATAAAAAAATCTCCTATTAGCGCAATCACGCAAATCCCTTAAATGTCCCGCAAAATCCCGCGAATTTAGTAGATGTCCCGCAAAATCCCGCGAATTTTGGGCACTGGGTCTAACAAATCTGTCCCGCGAGAAAATCTTTAGGGGTTGACAGTACTGCATTCTAGTGGTGTTTTCAAAATCATTTGCAATGCTCAGAATGTCATTTGATGTGGAAAGCATGAATGAAACAATGCATAGAAGGGATGTAAATGTGTTCTTTAAAGAATGTTCAGATTTTCTAAATAGGTTTTCATGAAATTAAAAAAGACGGATTATTTTGAAGATAACCATGAAATGATTTTGAACTTTGATTGAATTGATAAATTGTTGTCTAGATATATTCTAAGCAATCTCAGACAAATAGATTTCTATGTGAACAAAGGTGAAAAAATGAAATGTTTATCAATGTTTAGGATTGCTCAATTACCATTATTACAGAAATCTTTATTTCTAAGATTGCTTTTCATATTTAGCTAGTTCTAATCTAACTTTGATCATATTTTCTGGAGAAATTTGTGTTGTCTATGATATCTATGTATTTATATTAAAACCAGAAGACATGAACACTTTCGTTGTCATGTTACAATTATAACAGCTAATATTCCTGCACTCTTAGCTATTCATGCGACTGCGTAGTGAGAAGGATATTGGAAGAGGATTCAAAAAGAATGTTCGACGTTTTGAAAACATTGAAACGCATACAGGGCTATCATCTGCCAGTGCTGATGGCACTACACATTCTGTTAAAAAAGAGGAAACTATAGCATTTTCTGATTTCATAGCTAGGTATTGTGGTTGCTATACCAACCAAAACTTTTTAGTCACTATACCAACCACATATTGCTTTCTCACCACACTATATATAGTATGTTTCATGTAAGAGACTGTTTACCATACTGTATAACAGGTGGTATCCAAAAGACATTTGTAGAAAAACCAATGAGTAACAAAAAATTTAAAATGTTTATCAATTTAAATTCCTGGGCCAATACCTGGAAAACCCTCTAATACCCCCTCCATTTAGAAAATTTGATTTGTTATTCTACAAATATTAACATTTGGACACCATCCCTAACTAACATAAGTTGTTTCACTTGCATTATGTACTTCACACCTACTATCTCTCTTCACACTCTTTCATCAGATTTTATGGAAACAGCGTAAGGAAAAAGATGTTGGTAGAACTTTCAAAAAGAAATTAGCACCCTACAAAAATATAGAAACACATACTGGATGGACTCCTGCCAGTTCAGAAGGCACTACCCATACTGTAAAAAGGGAGGAAGTTCTTGGATTTTCAGATTTTATAACAAGGTATAGTGGTTGCTTTGACAACCCATCCATGGCAACTCCAACAGCTTCATACCTTAATTATAATGAAGAAAATATGTTGCTGTATCACACAGTTTAAGTTAAATAAGCCACTGTGCTCTAAGGAGTATAAATGTGTAAAGTCTGCTATTCTTGATGTTTAATTAATGCTGCCATTCCTTACATGTTACCATAGGATCAAACTACTCTCACATATATACTAGATAGATTAATATTTCTTTCAAAGACGGAGAGCATTTTACAAGCCAACCCTTCTCTCTCTTCAGGTAGATGTACCTGTGACCCAAAAACACGCTATGCACAATTCACAAATGGGCCTTTTTTGGAAAAGTAATTTTTAATCGATGATTCTAACCAATCTTCATAATCTCACTGAACAAAGTTTGAGTAGAGATATAGAGAACTCTTAATCAGTCTGTTTATCCATCTATCCATCCATCAATCCATACATGTTTTTACAGGCAATATTGATAATCCAAATACCAGTTGGTGGATTTGATTCAACTTTCATTGTCTGATACCTTATGGCAATAAAACCTCGACTCGAGATGGAAATATAATATGGCCACTCAATTCAAAATGGCTGCCACTTTTATTGTTATCCCTAGAAGTTTTGGTTAGATACATGTATCTAATGAAATTTAAAAAATGGCCACCACATTTATTGTTATATGTTCTCAACTCTTTTTTATAACTCCAAAAGTATTCAATCAATATCACTTGAAATTGGACAATGTACATCTACTTTATTTTTTAGGTGAACAATAATATATGTACAAGTTTCAGCAAAGAATTTAAAGTGGCTGCTTAAGTACACATGTATAGTTCTTATAATACTGCCTTGAAGTTTTGACAGAATATTTAGTGACATTTTAAAATGACTGCCAGTTTTATTGTCATGTTTCTGTGAATTATTGATCATAAGTACAAAAGTATTCCATCAATTTCCTGGCAATTGTAAAGTCGCCTTACCTCAATGATATCAACAAATTTTATCAAAATATGTCGCAAAGCTTTAAAATGGGCATCATTCTTATTGTGGAAATGTCACTTTTTGTATTAGAAATCCAAAACTAATTGCATCTATTTTGTTACTTGAAATTATGCAGGGATAGGTTAACAATATGTTTTAAATTTCAATAAAACTGTAGGTGTATCTTTTAGCAATCACTCGTATTAGAAACATTTTGACTTCAACATTTAAATGCTGTTTTATCAAAATGAAAATGTAAAAGTGCAAAATGACGAGTGATGTGATAAAATATGTTTTGTTCAGTGGGATCTGGTACTCTGGGGAGTTGCTGTTTTTCTAGCTAATAAACTAAACCCATTAACTAATGAATAAGCTTAATCTCTTACTATGACAATTGCCTGCTTTTATTCTAAAGCTTTTTGGTAGACTAAGGCAAGAAAAAGACTTTGGATTCAAGTTTAAAAAGATGATCTCAAAAAGGGAGAATATTGAAACGCACACAGGATTGTCCCAGGCATCTGCAGAGGGGACAACACATTCCGTTAAACAGGATGAGCAAAATAGCTTCTCTGATTGGATAAGCAGGTATAAGGGACAGAGATTTTGTGTTACCCTGTTTGCGTATTTCATATCACATGTTCATTTTCTCCTAACTTTGCATCATCACTCTGAATGGTGCTCTTACTTTTTGCTGTCTGATTTGATTTTTTTTATGTTTCACCTATGTTATGAGAGCCTCCACTAGACACCATGCTTTCTCAATTCAAGATGTCATGATGAAAGTACTAATATTTGAGGTATATTAGTCTATATATACTGGCTATTAATGCATTGGTAACAAGACCACATTTAACCTTTGAAATCATATATTACTAGGGCATGAGTGCTAAAGGCATGGCTTTCTTAAAAACCACAAGTTTTTGCATCTCTAATATTGAATGATCTTGTAACCTTTGTTATCTTCTATATTTGGAAAGTATTATGTGGAATAACACTGCTTTGAGTGTACACTATACTTCTGATTTATTTGAGCTGTTTCGGCACATTTTGGTGGGACCGTTGTAGTAGCTTTGCTTTAGATAATCTTTTCCTGAACTATTTAACCCGTCTGGTTGTGCTTTGTGTGAACACAGTATCCTTGTTAATATTTGTGTACATTTCTTTCCAACAGTAACATTAATTGCATTTATTTTATCGGTAGCTGTTCTTGAGGCTAAAGTCTGAAAAAGATTTTGGTCGTCAGTTCAAAAAGTTGGTGAAAAAACGTGAGAAATTGCAAACTCACACTGGTCTATCTGCATCTTCCGCTGAAGGTACGACACACACAATCAAAGAGGATGAACAAGTTAGTTTTGGAGATTGGATATCCAGGTAAAGATTGTTAGGTCACATGATTCTGTGGAGTAAGAATTGATGGCTTATTTACTAACATTTAGTGTTGTACACGTTACAGTAGGCTTTATTTTTTAGTTTCACCATAGACCATGTTTCTGGCTTATGCTGATGTTGAGGTAAGTTCCTTATTTGTGGTGAAGTACAAAGTCAGAATATGTTACTTGCTGTATATTTTTCCTAAGGGATGGTGATAGTTTCTTTCTTTCAGTTGTTTCTTATCCCTAAAGTTTAAACCGTGATCCGAAGCAGCTTATCATTTTCATGTTATTTTCATTTTTATTTTCTGTATGTTTTGATTGATTATCTTCAGTTACTATCCAAATGTCATCGTAAGAAGGAGCCAGGTCATTCTTATCTGGATAAGCTCAAACAGATTGAAGAAGTAGATTACATAGACGGCACTTCAGAAAAATCTACTGTAGATACCACACATTTTGTTCGAAAATCTGAGCAAGTTGGCTTCTCTGATTGGATGAATAGGTATTCTGGTGGCTCCACCTATCAAGGCCTCTCAACTTTGTGCATTTTATCATATCTCCCATGATGATATTGCACATATTTTCTATGCTGCCTGCATCAATCTGGCTACTAGCTACCAAGCCATCTGCCTTTGTGGTGGTGCCACTTTTGTTTCAGGATTTCCGCTGCAGACATGTTCCAATTCAACATGATTTAATGCTTTTGCTTATTTTCCTCGCTCCAGTTATATGCTAGATTGAAAAGAGAGAAAGACTATGGCCATACATTTAAAAAGATGATATCTAAAAGGCGTAATATAGATACATTAGGTGGAATGTCGGATGCCTCCAGTGAGGGGACAACACACTCAGTAAAAAAGGAAGAACAAATAGCTTTTGGTGATTGGATAAATAGGTACGACAATACAAAAAGTTACATATTTTTAGGATTTTTGTTTCTGCAGTGGTCTTTTTTTATTTGCTTGATGTTAACCCAATTATGATTGATATCTTATTTTAGGCAAACTTTATTTTACTTTTATAAACTTATTCATGGTCGGATATAGTAGTTCTGATTGTGCTTGTTATGAAGTTATTTGCAAGTATGAAGCGAGGTCGGGATCATGGCTACAAGTTCCGCAAAATGGTTCGTCCTCAAGCTAATCTTGATCACCTTGGTGGAATGTCAGAAAAATCATCTGATGATACGGCTCACTCAATTAACCACTTTTCTGAGCAAGTTGCATTTGCAGATGCAATTAATAGGTACAACGATAACATTCAGGGTGATGCCTTTTGTAGTTGATAAATATACACAGGGCTTTTAGTCTAGATACTGAAATTTATTGAAGTATATCTGGAAACAGCTTTATTTATGAGGATTATTATTATATATATGATAGTTTGTTATTGAGTTCCAATGTTGTTTGACATTGTTAGAGATGTTCTCAAAATACATGTATGTATAACTTGGCTTGATTGCGCATGTTAGATGAATGCAGGTACAAGTGGATGTTAAAGCTAAACTCTTGTATGGGGTTAACTAAATCTAAAGCAAGACATTGTGATGGCATGGTCCTATCACCATACATATCACTGGCAGATACCATGTATATTGTCCCATACAAGAATAGTAGAAGAAGCTTTAGCAACTCTATAGTATAGAAACATTTTGAGTACAGTTTCCTATCCATACCTGAAGAAGAAGCATATTTGGTACATATCCAAGAATGATATGGTATTTTTCCAAAAGAGAAAGTGGAATATTCATTATATTTTGATGGTGCATTTGTTTAAATACAAACAGATTATGCTAGCTACTATTCTAGTGTATAGTTTTCAAGTTCCCCACTCTTTTGAAAAACTTAAATACCAGTGATAAGATTTGGAGGAGCAAAGGACCTCTGCTCATGAAGGAATTTACAATATGGCCACTCAATTCAAAATTGCCTCTCACTTCAAAATCTTTGATAACCCAAATACCAGTTAATGCCTTAGGGACATAGGAATAGCTATATTGAAATGTGACAAAGTTTAGAACAACATATCCCATGTAATTTTCAAATTGGGAAAACTCAAATTCTATATTATTATTCTATATTTTTCAAATTAGACTTTCAATACCAAACATTCTACCTCGAAGAAGTAATAGATCGTTTGTTAGACCTAATCCGCCAGTACATGTAGGACTCTATTTCATTTTGATGGGTCGAACATGGCTTACCTGTCTTTTTTTCTATGCTGATTCTGTCTGCTGGCATAATCTGTAGTCTGTATGTGAATAAATTAAATTAATTGTTCACAAATCCTGTACTACTTGTTTTGATTCTTCCTATGGTGATTGGTGATGGGATCTTAGTGTAGCCATGTCATCACAAGGATCTTGTGCTAATATGCCAAAAAGAAACCAACAAGCAGTTATATTGTATTGGTAGATTCCAGATAGCTAAAGGTGCAACTTGCCTGCAATTATGTAAGTACAATATTAGTGTCACTGAACAAAATCATATCAAAAAAATCAGTTTGGAACAAATTATTGTTTCACTTCAAAGCAAGTTTGGTTTTGTTCAGAACACTTTTATGAATGTGGGAATGTCAATAAATTAAGTTTTTTGTTTCAGAGTTAATCTTAAATATGTGCTTTTGTTCCATGTTCATTACTAAGAGCCAATCTAGTTTTGAAATACAGAAATAAATTTGGGGAAACTAATATTAGGTCCATTAACCCTTCTACAAAGTCAACTCATGTGTATTGTAATGATAGCCACAGATCAGTGCTTATTACAGTGTTCATATTCATATCAAAACCATTTGTGCGTCTAAGTGTTCCTGTTCTCTTGAAACAATTTTCAAGTAAGATCTGATGGACTGTAAAATTCTGAATTCTGAGCAACAATCAAAACCATTTGTGCGTCTAAGTGTTCCTGTTCTCTTGAAACAATTTTCAAGTAAGATCTGATGGATAAAAGGGGGATATTGCTCATGTAATGGGGCATGTGAATTGCCTGGGTGGACAGTCATTTTAAAACACCTTGTATGCTGTATACTATATTCTTCTTGGACTATGCCATATACCATCTTAAGGTGCCATGGAAGTTAACAGGAAATGATGAAACAGGAAGTGACAAAAATTTTTGCATTTTTAGACATTTTTTGAACAAAGATAACAGAGTTCTGGTTTGACCTATAGTCAATTTAACTATCTCCATATATCATTTACATGACCAGGATCACAATGTGCATGGTCAGAATGACCCTAAACATGATGAAATAACCTTTTTAGCCCTTTGAAAGTGTGACTGAAAAAAAGCTAAAAGTAGGAGCGAGGGAAGGTTACTGAACAGAATCTTTTGAATTTTTCAGAAAATGTGCCCAATATAATGCCCTAACTGATACAATCTTTGAAATTTTAGAAAATTGTCTTAAACAAAAATGGCGGTCATAAAAAGGAAAATAGATCGCTTTTCAAATCAGTTTTTTCATTTTATTTCTTTTTCTATGAATGATATCAAATTTTCAAAGATTGTATCATTTAGAGCAATATATCGGGCACATTTTCTGAAAAATTCATAAGATTCTGTTCAGTGACCTTTCCTACCTCCTTCTTTTAGCTATTTTTCAGTCACATTTTAAGAGGGCTGAAAAGGTTATTTCAATATGTTAAGGGTCATTCTGACCATGCATATTGTGATCCTGGACCTGTAAAAAATGGTATTTGGAACTAGTTGAACTGACTGGAGGTCAAAACAGAACTCTGTTATCTTTGTTCAAAAAATGTCTAAAAATGCAAAAAAATTGTCACTTCCTGTTTTGTCATTTCCTGTTAACTTCCATAGCACCTTAAAAACCAATGGCAACATGTACATTGAATTGTTTTTTGAAAGAACAAATAGAGTTAAGTTTGCATGTAATTTGATGTTGTCTGCAATCATTTATATCTCCACCATGGCATTTAATCACTAAACTTGTTTAATGTTATCTTTACATAGCTTCATGTGTTTATGTTTATCATAATGAAGTTTTCCTAGAAATTCCTGATACAGTTATATTTGCATGTTCTCATTTTGGTAACTAGATACAAATTTTCATATTTGTGATGTACTTTGCTCAGGATTTATTGATTGATGTTAATAATATAGTTTAAAGTACTTATATAATGTTTGCTTGGCATTCTATACATTTATTTGTACAGGCTGAAGTGCCCTTTGGTTAAACCAGTTGTATCATGGAGCATATTTAGTTAACAGCTAAAAAATGTCAATTTTAATTTTATCCTTTGAATGTCAGCATGTTTGTCTTCTATTGCATCTTCATGGCTGGCATCTTGCATAAGGCATATGTGGGAGTTCCTATAATATATTGACTAACATCCTTGTTATTTCTTGGTATAATTGCTTGACTTATGAGTGTGTTTGATATGTCATGTCTTGAGTTCAACTTTTTTAGCTCTAGCTTTGAAAGCAACTAACTTTTTAGCTCTAGGTTTGAAAGCAACTACCAATAAAATCACATATTCTGACTTCAAAGGTCTAATACCTAATAATTTTATCAAATTAAAGTGAATGGATTCTACAAGCAATAGTATGGCATTTTGTGAGTGAAATAGGACAAATTAGCCGAAGGTGATAATCTAATCTGTTGCCATCCATGATGAATTTCTTTATAAACATACAAGTAATTTGCCTTTTGGTTCTTATTCTTAATAAATTTAACCAAAATGGAATTGTTAAGTCATAAGGGAACAAAAGAAAGGCCTGCATAATATTTTTAGACAAGTCTTGAATCTCTGGGAAATTCACTGAAAGTGAAATTATCTGGGGAAAATTGATATAATATAACAATATTCAGAGTGGTGGTAATTTACACCTGGATCTTTCTTCTTCCTGGTTTTAGAGAAATCACCATGGGAGACATTGCCTGGTGCCATTTCTCATGAAACTTGGAAACCAAAACTCACCATGTGACTCCATCAAACACCCTCTTATAATATCTTTGCTACATTTTCTTATATGGCATGCCTTCATAATCAGTCCAATATATACATCTAATTTTGTGGATTTATAAATTAAAGATCATGTACAGATTTAGAAAGTGGAGCTGATCTTAAGACAGAGTTTTGTTTGTTTATTAATGTCAAGTTGTGTATCCTGTCAGAGGTATTACTATTTAAGAGCCTATACATGATGGCACAAAATCATTTTGTCAAATAAGGCCACAGAATGTAAATTCATTTTCGTACATTTTGCAAATATTTTATGTTCTTGTCGTCTTATTGGTTGAATTTGGTCATTTGATTTGAATGCTTTGGGCTTATTGTTTGATATTGAAAGCAAATAAATGTGGCTCTTGTGTTGAATGGGGTCATGAGATCATAAAAGGTTTGTTATCTTAATGTAAATAAATAGACATGTAGCACATATAACTTTGTAATCTGTATCTATGTGTATTTATTGCTAAATGTTCAGAGATAAGGCACTGGCCAAACTGGGGGAAATATGCTTGCATCCAAGCTCTCAGATCCTTCCTCTAAGGGGTAGTCTCCATTTGATTATAATTATACAAAAATCTGTTCAGAATACATAAGTCTCTTTATACATAATAATCTATAAACCCACCCCTCCCACACTTTTGAGTACTCACAGTTTGTATATGTTGGTACATCCACACCTTTATGTTAATTATATAACTTTTTATTCCTGTATCACCACCATTTCACAGCCATAATAGTTTGTGACATAAATGTACGTACCACAAAGCATTTGATGTATTTAAAAAATTGTCACAATTTTGTTGTTGCAACCAGGTAGTGATATTCCATTATGTTTGCAATAATAAGTATCCAATTTTCCAACAATTATGTTTGTATTTATCTTCTATGTTGCTAAAACCTCACGTGATATGTTCCCTGGGATATGTTCTTTCTAATTTTTTCTAGTAATAGGTAATTAGGTATTCTGTCAAATGAACCACCATATATTTCTTTGCTAACTATCCCACCTAAAAATGTACACGTTTTGCATTTATTGTAACAATAACACATATTTCTATGTTAATGTTTGAAGATATTTATTACACTTTTTGCACAAATAAATGTAGTCATCTTACATAAATTCATGTAGCACTTATGGTAACAATAACACAAATATATTTTTCTATGTTAATGTTATAAGATATTAATTACACGTTTTGCACAAATAAATGTAGTCAGCTTACATAAATTCATGTAGCATTTATGGTAACAATAACACAAATATATTTTTCTATGTTAATGTTATAAGATATTTATTACACTTTTTGCACAAATAAATGTAGTCAGCTTACATAAATTCATATAGCATTTATGGTAACAATAACACATATTTCTATGTTATGTAATTAGGTATCTTATGACTTTCTATATTGTTGTAGAAACTTCAAAGATGATGAGGATTGTAAGAAATACCTTCCTCTGCACCCAGAGGGCAGAGACCTCTATCAGAAGATTAAAGACGGGATCTTACTCTGGTTTGTACATTTAGTCAGTTATTCATGAACAGTCACATTGAAATGCTGTTCAGGTAAATTGTTTGCTTTGACTACAAATGGTTTGCCTAGCAATGTACTGTAGTTTATTAGGAAGGAATAAGTCCTGTGCACCCATGTGAATTAAATCTCCAAATAGTTGTAAAGAATTAAAAATGATTTCACTCCTCAGAGGGGGTGCATCCAAGGAGGCATCATTCATAGATAAATAACACCATATCTTAAAGGCACTCCATTGATGAACAAATATCATAAATGATATAATATACAGTATTCTCTCTACCAAGTGCACAGTTCCAATGAGTGCAATTCAACTTTTATTGAATATTGTATCAGAAGTTTAATGCATTAGTTTCGATTATTTACATACATTATCGATTGATGATTATATTTAATATAGAGAAAGAAATACTGGAGCTATAAAGTATGTTATAACTTTGGTGATAACAACTTAAAAATAATTTTGGCAATATTTTTTTTAATTTTTTTTATATATGCGCTTTTAGGTAATTCTCAATATCTTACCCTTTGTAATTACGCTTTGGAAACTGCACATGTATTGCAGAAGATGTTCATCTGTTAGAAATCCTCAATTATTATCCCATCGAACGAAGTTCGGAGGGATATAGGGAACGCCTCCGTCCGTCCGTCCGTCCGTCCGTACGTCCGTCCGTCCGTCCGTCCGTCCGTCCGTCCGTCCGTCCGTCCGTCCGTCCGTACGTCCGTCCGTCCGTCCGGGCAATAACTCAAATACCGTTGGCCCGATTTTGTTCATATTTTGTACACATATACCCTATGGGGGTAGAAGTTCTGCTCGAAAGCCGATTTTCAAAATGGCCACTCATTTAAAAATGGCGGCCATTTTAGTGCCGAATTTACAGTAATTTAGGTGCAATATGTCAAACTGTAATAGCAATATGTTTGAGATGTAAAAAAATTATATAGGACATTAATAAAGCTAGAAATGTAGATATTAAAGAAGCACATGGCAGCCATCTTGAAAAATGGCGGCCTTTACTCGTTATTTTACGATTTTTGCTGTAACTTGAAAAGTAGTGGAGCGATTTTGTTCATATTTGGTATGTGAATACTATAAACATTGCACGCTTCTTAAAGACACTTTTGGTAGAAGGCGGCCATTTTGAAAAATGGCCGCCATTTTGAAAAATGGCCACCATTTTAACATATTTTACTATAACTCGAAAAGTAGTGGAGCGATTTTGTTCATATTTTGTATGTGAATACTATAAGCATGACACACTGTCCTATGACACTTTTGGTAGAAGGCGGCCTTTGAAAAATGGCCGCCATTTTAACGTATTTTACTATAACTCGAAAAGTAGTGAAGCGATTTTGTTCATATTTGGTATGTGAATACTATAAGCACGGCACACTGTCTAATGGCACTTTTGGTAGAAGGTGGCCATTTTGAAAAATGGCCGCCATTTTAACGTATTTTACTATATCTTGAAAAGTAGTAGAGCGATTTTGTTCATATTTGGTATGTGAATACTATAAGCATGGCACATGGTCTAATGACACTTTTGGTAGAAGGCGGCCATTTTGAAAAATGGCTGCCATTTTTGCTATATACTTTGTTTGTAAAAATGCCATCCATGGCTGTTCGATGGGATTCGCTACGCTTTGGCGTTGCCGTTGTTCTGGTTATTGCACAAGTATTATCTAATTTCTTAATCTCTTATTTCAACATTTAAAATGGTATTCCATGCGATCCCATACTTCCTTGATGTCAACGTCAATAAAAGTTATGTATTATCTATTTTCAGCAAAATGATCAACAGATCTCAACCAGATACAATAGATGAGAGAACAATAAACAAAACTAATCTAAATGTCTACAAAATACATGAGAACTTAATCCTGGCTCTAAACTCGGCTCAGTCTATTGGGTGTAATATTGTTAACATTGGACCAGAAGATCTAGAAGCCGGAAAACCACATCTCGTCCTGGGCCTAATATGGCAAGTTATTAAGGTAAGAAGATTGACTCATTTGTAGTTTAAAGATAAAGTAAATTCATTACAATTATGCCTGAATCTGATCTATTTGTTGAACTATTTCCACAGTGGTTCTTATGAAGGCAGAGACCTTAAGATTAAACCTAAAAGCAAACCCTTTATATGAAATGTTATGCATGCTCAGGGACTTTTGTAACTTTATACACATTTTCAGTCTTTCTTGCAATACAAATGTTGTTGACTTGTGCAAAATAGAATACCACCTCATTAATGAGTCTGCAATTCTACACAAAACTAGAACTTGTATGAGTCTGAGACTGACCTCTCAGAAATAAAGTCCATGTCTGTCATGTGTAAATAATGAAATGTGTAAAATTATCGATTTGTGATTGGGCCATTTTCCAATTTCATAACACGTACACATTGCCATTTTAATGCTTATTTAGTAAATCGAAGGATATTTTCTGTCAACCTGTCTCCAGAATTGAAAATCCAAGTAGCAAGTCTTTATTATCTCACATGCCAGATTTATTTCTTAGTGGTTGTATAATTGCTTGCTGACCCACACATTGACTCATAGACATCCCACGAATTACTGCATCAAGTTGGTTTGTCTAGCATTATCAGCCCTTACTTGCTAGATTGCACTGCAGATTACGCCTTTTTCACTTGCAGACTTCATTATTTAAACTCGCAGAAAACTGTGAGAAAAAATTGTCTATTCAAATGCCACATGTGCCTGCTCAAATATGTCAGTGTCTCAATGACCATGATGCCAACATGAGTCTATACGTATATATGGCATATATATTTTATTGACTCTCCATATATGCCACATGTGCCTGCTCAAATATGCCAGTGTGTCAATAACCATGATACCAACATGAGTCTATACTATATGGCTTTGTGACACAATGTAAATTATATACTAATGAAAGGAAAAACCTTTACTCATCAATCAAAAAATCGTGTCCATCTTTTACCACTTTAGACAATGCTAAAAAAAATTCACATTTATCATGCAATATAAAACTAATATGTCTGACATACTCAACTTCATCAATACATGCTATCAGAAAAGAATCAATGAAGTCATTTAAGTACCCAATTTTCCAAACTAGTGTGAAGCAAACTTCTCAAAGTTTATGTATTTTATTGTATTATATATCCCCTTATTCAAACAGTGTAGTACTGTAGTAGTTTGTTTTATCATCTTATATTGTAGTTTTTTAGCTATACCCATGTACATTGTATTTGTGGTAATGCAATAAATAAATAAATAACTATATGGCACATATATTTTATTGACTCTCCATATATGCCACATGTGCCTGCTCAAATATGCCAGTGTGTCAATGACCATGATACCAACATGAGTCTATACGTATATATGGCACATATATTTTATTGACTCTCCATATATGCCACATGTGCCTGCTCAAATATGCCAGTGTGTCAATGACCATGATACCAACATGAGTCTATACGTATATATGGCACATATATTTTATTGACTCTCCATATATGCCACATGTGCCTGCTCAAATATGCCAGTGTGTCAATGACCATGATACCAACATGAGTCTATACGTATATATGGCACATATATTTTATTGACTCTCCATATATGCCACATGTGCCTGCTCAAATATGCCAGTGTGTCAATGACCATGATACCAACATGAGTCTATACGTATATATGGCACATATATTTTATTCACTCTCCATATATGCCACATGTGCCTGCTCAAATATGCCAGTGTGTCAATGACCATGATACCAACATGAGTCTATACGTATATATGGCACATATATTTTATTGACTCTCCATATATGCCACATGTGCCTGCTCAAATATGCCAGTGTGTCAATGACCATGATACCAACATGAGTCTATACGTATATATGGCACATATATTTTATTGACTCTCCATATATGCCACATGTGCCTGCTCAAATATGCCAGTGTGTCAATGACCATGATACCAACATGAGTCTATACGTATATATGGCACATATATTTTATTGACTCTCCATATATGCCACATGTGCCTGCTCAAATATGCCAGTGTGTCAATGACCATGATACCAACATGAGTCTATACGTATATATGGCACATATATTTTATTCACTCTCCATATATGCCACATGTGCCTGCTCAAATATGCCAGTGTGTCAATGACCATGATACCAACATGAGTCTATACTATATGGCACTTATATTTTATTCACTCTCCGTATATGCCACATGTGCCTGCTCAAATATGCCATTTGTCCCAATGACCATGATGCCAACATGAGTCTATATGTATATATGGCACATATATTTTATTCACTCTCCATATATGCCACATGTGCCTGCTCAAATATGCCATTTATCTCAATGACCATGATACCAACATGAGTCTATACTATATGGCAATGCCGCATGTGTATGCTCTATTGTACCATTATATCTACCCTATATGCCACAAGTGTCTATACTTTATGCCACTTGCCACATGTATGTATCTACACTATATGATGTTTACCACTTGTAGCTACTCCTTTTGCCACTTGTATCCTCTCAAATGCCACATGTGTATGCACTATTGTTCCATTATATCTACTCTATATGCCACACGTGTCTATACTTTATGCCACTTGCCACATGTATGTATCTACACTATATAGTATATACCACTTGTAGCTACTCCTTTTGCCACTTGTATCCTCTCAAATGCCACATGTGTATGCAATATTGTTCCATTATATCTACTCTATATGCCACACGTGTCAATACTTTATGCCACTTGCCACATGTATGTATCTACACTATATAGTATTTACCACTTGTAGCTACTCCTTGTGCCACTTGTATCCTCTCAAATGCCACATGTGTATGCAATATTGTTCCATTATATCTACCCTATATGCCACACGTGTCTATACTTTATGCCACTTGTCACATGTATGTATCTACACTATATAGTATATACCACTTGTAGCTACTCCTTTTGCCACTTGTATCCTCTCAAATGCCACATGTGTATGCAATATTGTTCCATTATATCTACCCTATATGCCACACGTGTCTATACTTTATGCCACTTGTCACATGTATGTATCTACACTATATAATGTTTACCACTTGTAGCTACTCCTTTTGCCACTTGTATCCTCTCAAATGCCACATGTGTATGCAATATTGTTCCATTATATCTACCCTATATGCCACACGTGTCTATACTTTATGCCACTTGTCACATGTATGTATCTACACTATATAGTATATACCACTTGTAGCTACTCCTTTTGCCACTTGTATCCTCTCAAATGCCACATGTGTATGCAATATTGTTCCATTATATCTACCCTATATGCCACACGTGTCTATACTTTATGCCATTTGCCACATGTATGTATCTACACTATATAGTATTTACCACTTGTAGCTACTCCTTTTGCCACTTGTATCCTCTCAAATGCCACATGTGTATGCACTATTGTTCCATTATATCTACTCTATATGCCACACGTGTCTATACTTTATGCCACTTCCGTTTCAGTGATCTTATCTCAACTAAGGTAAACGCATGGTGTGGAGTGATCATTTTGCTTTGAGTATTGCTACAGTGAAATGATTACAGGTTCATGATTTGCTGTTGAATTGAATATATTGCATGAAGTAAAGATCTTGCATGAAATAAAGTAGTGTTCATGCATATGAAACAATGTCATGCAACCATTTGAAAAGATTTGACTTTCCAGTTACTTTGTTTCTTCTTTTTTTGGACTTTCTGTATAACAAGAAGTTCTCACAAGTAGTGTGTATCCATGAAATAATCTCAGAAAAATAAGATTTTTTGTTAATTTTGAGATCTCTCTGAAGCATAACTTTATTATATAATCAACTGAAGGGCGTTGTTTGCAAATAATTCATCTTCATTTCAGATTTGTGCCTCATAAAATGTCAAAAACCTCAGTCTAAAGGTATTTTAAAGAAGATTGCAAATGTTGCATCATTTTGCCATATTGTCGGCCTAGGCGCGTCCGTCTGTCTGTCTGTCTGTCTGTCCATCCGTCGTACGTCCAGCAGTTTTCTCCAAAACCACTACAGATATCCCCTTCAAATTTTCAGGGGTAACTTATGAGTGCATACAGATGTGGATGAAAATTTTTTAACTCGATATCTACTTCCTGTCGGCCATTTTGAAGTCAAATGCTAAAATCCTTATCTGCAAACTTGAAGAAAAACGACTTCACAGTTGCTTTTAAAACTTTAACATCTTGTTCAGCTCGCTTCATTCTAGATCTGATTAGGTTTTGGACCTGTTAGCTCAGTCATGGCAGCCATTTTGAATGTCTGAAGAAAAGTTAGCGCACGATTATACTTTGTATCATATTGAATGGTGTTTTTGAGTTTTCATACTTTAACTATTTAGTAGCATTATAAATAATTTCAGGTGTACCTTCTTATAAAAGCCTATGTTATTGTTAACAGTAGGTATATGTGATAATTTTGTAAAAAGAAATCATAATCACCACTTTTTTATTGTCAGCCATTTTGGATTTTTCCATCCTAAAATCTTGTCTGTAAGTCTTGTCTACGCGTTTTCAGGTAAACCGTTTGGTAGATCAATTTCAAATTTTCAGGGATGATTCTTAGTATCAAAATCTAGATCTGATTTGTTTTTGGGCATTCTGGGTAAATGTCAAGGCAGCCATTTTGGATTTTCCGTCCTAAAATCTTGTCTGTAAAGTCTTCTCTACGCATTTCCAGGTGAACCGTTTGGTAGATCAATTTCAAATTTTTAGGGATGATTCTTAGTATGAAAATCTAGATCTGATTAGTTTTTGGCGTTCTGGGTAAATGTCAAGGCAGCCATTTTGGATTTTCCTTCCTAAAATCTTGTCTGTAAAGTCTTGTCTACACTTTTCCGGGTGAACCGTTTGGTAGATCAATTTCAAATTTTCAGGGATGATTCTTAGTGTGAAAATCTAGATCTGATTAGTTTTTGGGCATTCTGGGTAAATGTCAAGGCAGCCATTTTGGATTTTCTGTCCTCAAATCTTGTCTGTAAAATCTTGTTTACATGTTTTCTGGTTAACTGTGTGACGGATCAATTTCAAATTTTTAAGGGTGGTTCTTAGTATAAAAATCTAGAACTGACTAATTTTTTGGCATGCTGGGTAAATTTTTAGGTGGCCGTTTTGGATTTTCCGTCCTCAAATTGTGTCGGTAAAGTCTTGTCTTCTCATTTTTAGGATAACCATTTGACGGGATGACCCATAGGTGGCTACATTTTGTACACATTTGTGTTCTTGTTGATTCATGCCTCAGAAAATTGAAAATGGACTCCTGATGCTGAATTTTGCTGGAAATTATTTACAATGGTGACATTCATTATCTTTCTGGTTTATATCACTCAAATCTGTCTTGATAAGGTGTAACTCAGATTTACCCATCTTGACCTCTTAAAGATACAACCATCTTTCATCCGTCTATTTACTAATCACATCTTTCTGTTCCACTAAAAACATTGCATGGCTAAGAAGAGAGATGTCGTAGTTTATCATGGTGTCTTTTTATCCCAAAAAGTCACGTAAGATGGAAAAATGGCAACATTAACATTTTTGCTATGAGTTTGCATGCTATTTGTATGTATCTAAGCATTTTCTAAAAAATATGCTATGATCTCATAACAATTGAAAGTTCCATTATTTTTAAGATGATTTACACTATGTTTTGTCATCAAAAGGTGTGAATAATACATAATCATATGAGAAAACATTGTTGTATTGGTACCTGTGCAAGATCATACATTCTTTATTTGCTTTTATAATTATTAGACTCCAGATGATAATCTAGTATTATTGTTTTTGCCTTTTTTCTTTCATTCTTTCTTATTATTATTTACTGAGCAAGTTTTCTCAACAACCATAAATTATTCAATTTTAGACAACCATATGGTCAATTAAGGTACATCATCTAGTTGGTGGGAAATTTGGTCAAATTTTGATCTAGGTCAAAATCTAGGTCAAATCTTATATTTTCAACATTTTGTCAATTATCTTTGTCAATATTTTTTCTTGATCTTTTTTCTAAAATGTAGCAAAGAAAAGTACAATTCAACAGTGGGCCATCCGTTTCTTGATTACTCTTACCGTTTTTGAGATATTTGAACGTGTTCAAGTTCCAATTTCTAGTTATTTATCTTGTCTTTGATGAAATGGAAAAGAATTACTATCTCTCAGTGGAGATGATAACTCCATTTAATGTGTAACACGGAGATTGCAATTTTGCACATCAATTGACGTGAATCACGCCAATAAGCATAATGTCCATTGTAATTCATAATTTGAAACACCAGGTTAATTAGAAGACCCAGTGTTTAATATATATACAATCTAAGTAATATATCTCTTATAGTAAGTAAGTAGTTGGCAAACATCAATGGTATATTAAATCCCAGAGAAGTATTTCATTCCAAAATTGTGGACAAAATGCCGTTCAAACTTGTGAATTTTCTGTCAATGTTACGGACCAATGAAGTCACCACCGAACTTGCATTCTTGGAAAGTCTAAATCGATCGATGGAACGCTTTTTATTGCATTTTCTTCAAGTATTTAATCTAATCTAGCACTTGTATGCAGGAATTCGCGATCCTATGTGGGAATTTGCGCTAGAACTAATCAAAGTTACCTCTCACGAATCCTAGAAAAACGCCATATTGGAATTACTAATACTCCTTCAATTGTCTAGATATCATCTTTCCGACAGGTTATACGACAGAATTGGTACTGACCCAATGGTATTTTAATCTCTTAATACAATGTGAGCCCCAATTCCGAGAAAAGACCACTGAAAATCACTAAAATGGAGTCTACTGTCCCTCTTCTTTTTGACCGGAAGTGTTTTCCTGACCTCGGTGCGATGCTGATTTTTTCGTTTTTTCCTGGCTGGATTTAGTTTTCAAACCTTCTTTACAATGATCTAATGATTACCTTAAATGAATTTAAATTCAATTTAAATTCCTATCCTCATTAGATCAGAATTTATTAGTTTTCTTTCCATCATTTATTTACTTCTGGTTTGCTGTTGAATAAATATTTCTTGTAAACATTGATGTAAGCACATAATAATAGTTGTTAGTTCAAAATGCAACCCGGACAATAGCAAATGTTTATGATTATAACTATTACATACGATGCAGATCATGATTTACCCACTAGTTCCCCACTGCCTGTTGTCCTGCCGATAATATGTGAAACTTTTACAAGATAATAGTTTGCACATCAATTGCCGTGCAAAATATTGCATGTAACTTGACGGACATGACGGCAATTGCCATTATTATCAATTGACATACGCACTTATGCTTCATAATTTCACGTCAATTGTCGTGCAACATGGCAATTGCCATACTTCACGTGAATTTGGGGTTATCGTCTCCACTGTCTCTGGAATGAATGATCTTGCATAGGAACTTATGCAAGAAACTCTATGTCTCCCACTATTTCTGCATTGAATTGTTTCCCACTCTGTCTGTATTGAATTGTCTCCCACCATTTCTGTATTGAATTGTCTCCCACTCTGTCTGTATTGAATTGTCTCCCACTCTGTATTGAATTGTCTCCCACTCTGTCTGTATTGAATTGTCTCCCACACTGTCTGTATTGTATTCTCTCCCACTCTGTCTGCATTGAATTGTTTCCCACTCTGTCTGTATTGAATTGTCTCCCGCTCTGTCTGTATTGAATTGTCTCTCACCATTTCTATATTTAATTGTCTCCCATCATGTCTCTATTATATTGTGTTGTTTTGCCTCCCATCATCTGTATTGTATTTTCTCCCACACTGTCTGTATTGTATTCTCTCCCACTATGTCAGGATTGAATTGTCTCCCACTATATCTGTATTGTATTGTCTCCTACCCTGTCTGTATTGTATTGTCTCCAACCATGTATTCTCTCCCATTATTTCTTCATTTTATTTTTACTTGGCTAACAGGTGGGCCTTCTGGGAGATATCAACCTGAGTCACTTCCCAGGGCTGAAGAATCTGCTAGGGGAGGATGAAAGCATGGCAGACTTCATGAAGCTATCTCCAGAACAGATCCTTATACGCTGGGTGAATTACCATCTTGAACGTGCTGGGGTTGACAGGCGCATCAGCAACTTCACTAGTGATATCAAGGTAGGAGGGGGCACTGATCATATTATTGCATGCTAAAAAGATCTTATACTCTTTACATTACATAGAATGTGGTGTCACCATACCTTCTTCCAAAAAGAAATGTTTGAAAATATAAAAATGAAAGCCACAAATAATTCTGTTTCCATCATTTCTTGAAAGGAAATAGTCATCTCCTATGAAATTTTATTCAATGACCTTTCTTGCAGCAGTACCCTTGACTATCTATTTTTAGCCACAGTGATCATGATATGTGTGGCTTGCTTTAATAGTATAAACACTGTCACAGGAATATTGTAGCCTGTAAAATAAACAAGGGAACTATTGTAACCTGAATGCTGTTACAAGTATGTCTTGTAGCATTTGTTTGTGTAAATCCATTGCTCATGCACAGTTTTGCATTACAGGATTCATTTGCGTACATCCATTTGCTCAAACAGATATCCCCGAAGGAGGCGGGAGTTGTTACAGGATATGAAGAAGTAAGCTATGTAGCAAACGTATTAATAGTAATAAATGATAGATGAAGAAAATCCCAAATTAATGATGCTCAGCCATCTCTCAGTATTATGAGACATGGAGGTATGCAACATTGTGAATAAGAATAATAATTATCCCAACGAACGAAGTTCGTTAGGGATATAGTGAAGCCCTCCGTCCGTCTGTCCGTCCGTCAGTCCGTCAGTCAGTCAGTCCGTCCGTCTGTCCGGAAGATAACTCAAATACTAGTTGACAGATTTTCTTCATATTTAAAGGAAAGATGTATATTGGTGAATAGTTTTATGCAAAAAAATTTATTTTTCAAGATGGCCGCCGCTTTAAAAATGACGGGACTTTTTCGCAAAAATCATAAATTTTTCATTCTAAACCAAAGTAATTAATATTATTGTTTGAAATTTTGGTAGTGTATTCACAACATTTATCTATTTCAAATGTATTCCGTGTTTTTTCATCCTGACCCCCAGGGGCCATGTATTGGGGGACAGGAAAACAGAAATTTTCGCTAATTTTTAGATCTTTCTGAAGTATAGCTTTATTATACTCAAATGAAAGGCAATTAAGAGTAGATTGCAAATATTGTATCTTTTTTCTGATTTGAGCCTCGTAAAATTCAAAATGGCCGTCTAATGTACGATTTTGCAATAATTTTTCGATCCCTTCAAAGTATGGCTATATTATACTCAAATTGAAGGAATTTTGGAGTAGATCACAATTATGGTATTATTTTTCAGATTTGTACCTCAGAAAATTCAAAATGGCTGCTTTGCAGGAATTCGCAATTCTAAAATCTAATTTTTTCATTTTCAACCAAAGTAATGAGTATAATTGATTGGAATTCGGTAATTGATATTTTGTTCGTTGGGATTTGCTACTCCGCGGAGTTGCCGTTATCTAGTTACAATAGACTTATAAAGAATAGACTTATAAACAATAGATGAAAACATGGTCATTATCATAAATATCTCATGCAATGCATTGCTTCAAGTGGGACAAATTTCCATTGGTCTGTTGATTAAACCAAATTCTCCCAACCTTAAAACTTGTGTATTGTCATAATGATAAACTTTATACTAATATCAAGTTACAGCCCACATTGTATACATGAGAACTTGCATCTTGTTTTATATCGAGTCATCAGGTCTCAGCTTCCGGGAACGAAGTCGGTGACTTCATGGTAAAACATATCATGATTACCTTCAGTTTCCAAAAATATTCGTGAAAATGCTTAGCAGTTTGTCATAAGGACACATATATTTATCGATTGTGCAAATATACGTGAATAAGAATGTCAAATAAAGTTGGAATGATATGTTCAAAATCGGACCCTGTATATTTCAATGGGGAAAAAGCCCAGATGTAAAAAATCTGTTCCCGGAATTTGAGCTCTTCAACAGGGGAGGTAAGAATATTGTTGTCATGCTGAACTATGGCGTATAAGTCTATTAGTTTAATTTCCTACAATTTAAGCTGGTACTTTTATCATGTGACGTGCACTCTGTATTAGAGATGATGTAAATCAGAGTTTATATGTCTGCTAGAATCACAACTTACCTATTTTAAGGCATGTATTACATCTATTTGTATTACAAATTATATGTACATGCACTGATTAGGTATTGTTTATCATATCAGTGTTTTGCATAGGTTAACCTCCTTTGAATTTTTATTTAATTATCCAGTCCACATCAAAAAAACATTTTCAAGATATTCATCAAAGTAAAAAATGTGAGTATTAAATATGTGAATTGCAGCAAACAACCTAAAAGTATATTCCCAAACTTGACTACCAAAAAACTGAATCGTGTATTTCATTTCATAAACATCAATGTTGCTATCATTTTAATCCTCAGATTCCTGACTTGGAGCAACGTGCTGAAGAGATGTTGAAAAATGCTGACAAGATTGAGTGTCGTAGCTTTGTGACACCCCCTGCTGTTGTATCTGGCAACTACAAACTGAATCTTGCGTTTGTGGCTAACCTGTTCAACAACCACCCAGGCCTGGACAAGGATGTGGAGGTGCCAGATGATTATGTGGAAGAGACAAGGGAGGAGAAAAGTAAACAAATTATTAGCTCATATGGATGTCTGTCTGTCTGTCTGTTCATCGATATGAATCATAATGACTTAAACATTTTAAACCCTCCTTTCTCACAGGTTGTTATCATCATCTACAAGTTATCAGAAGTTCAAATCTGACTTTAGATTTGAGATTCGACCTTCAATGACATTCTCAAGGTCAAAAATGTCATTTTTCAACTTGCTTCAAATTGATCAATTTTTTTTCATAATCATCTACAAGTTATCAGAAGTTCAAATTTGACTTTAGATTTGACCTTTAATTACCTTCTCAAGGTCAAAAAAGGTCAAAAAGGTATTTTTTCAACTTGCTTCAAATTGACCAATTTCTTTTTTCAAAATCATCTACAAGTTATCAGAAGTTCAAATCTGACTTTAGATTTGAGATTTGACCTCCAATGACCTTATCAAGGTCAAAAAGGTATTTTTTCAACTTGCTTCAAATTGACCTTTTTTCAAAATCATCAACAAGTTCTCAACAGTTCAAATCTGACTATAGATTTGACCTTCAATGACATTCTCAAGGTCAAAAAAGATTTGACCTTCAATGACATTCTCAAGCTCAAAAAGTTCTCAGAAGTTCAAATCTGACTTCAGATTTGAGATCCCACCTTCAATGACCTTCTCAGGGTCAAAAAAGGTATTTTTACAAGTTGCTTCAAATTGACCAATTTATTTTTTCAAAATCATCAACAAGTTCTAAGAAATCCAAACCTGACTAAGATTGAACTCATGATATTGTAAGCAACAAGGTGGTGACATTGTCATGTTAATGTCTTGTTTTGGTATTGTTTAAGGAAGAAAAGAATCTGGGAATCAAGATCTTTGTAAAAGCACTTGTTCTGTTTCAGCATACCGTAATTGGATGAACAGCATGGGAGTGAACCCCTATGTGCACTACCTGTACAGTGACCTGATAGATGGCCTTGTCATCTTCCAGCTCTATGACATCATTCAGCCTGGGATTGTCAACTGGAGTAAGGTTGTCAGACAATTCACCAAAATGAGTGCGATGCATGAAAAGATTGGTAAGAAGTATTAAAATGAATCATTCATACATATTAAAGGCAAAATCGAAGATATTCACAAAAAAAATTTCTACAAGAATATAGAAATATTCCATTGTCCGGGAACAAAATATAAACATCTGGAATTTTGAGAAAATAGGAGCCGAAATAAGCCAAAAATATTCTAAAATAAAGACTAATTAAATTATTGGAAAAGTTTGCAAGAATGATTGAACCTACTCCCATTGTAATGCTTAACACTAGATGTGCGCTGAGCGAGTTTACTCGCTTTGACGTCACATTCCATGTAGACGATCAGCGAGTTTACTCGCTTGATAATGTTGAAAGTGTTTGCAAAAAGTCAGAAGTCTTTAACTTAAATAATTTGGCGCTATTCCTCTCAAAATAAGATTTTTATAAGGTTTTTATAGTTGATGGTGTTGATAACATTTATACAACATAATTTTTACAAAATAAGTTAAATAGACACAATAAATAATGAAGCAAAAATATTTTTTAACTTTTTATTTCGAAAATATTGACTTGAAGTTCGAAACCGGAAGTGGTCGGGATTGAACAATTATTTTTATTTTTTGGATTAAATTGAAGAATACTCATCAAATATGAGGAAATCGATCACAATGTATGATCAGGTGATGATATTAGAGGTAAATCTCTATATGTGGGTAAATGGTGATTAGGATATTTTGAAAATTTTCAGACAAATCTTTTTCATCACCTTTGACTTAAAGTCAATGTATAGGATTAGATGACCCCTTCATAACTCTTTAATGCTTTTTCATGGCATTTTAAGTAACTTAGCTACCATATAACATCCATATGATACATGCATATGTATCATACTTCTGGTGTGATCAGGTTCTATATGCATGCCTGAAAAGGGGAATCAATCCCCGAAAAAATCAGTCTCCATGGAATGCACATCCAAAACAAATCAGCGCTCTAAGGGTTAAGTCTCCAAGTGAGACTGAAACTATTTAATTTATTTTTTTATTTTTTATTTCATCATTTTATACTTTTAGGGAATTGCAACTATGCAATTGAAATTGGCAAAGAGTTGAAGTTTAAACTGGTTGCAATTGGAGGAAAGGATTTGTATGATGGAATACAAACACTCACCTTAGGTATGCCACACATAATATGTCTTTGAAATTATTCATTCAAAAACAAGGTATCTATGTACAGTAGTAGTATGATCAAGTCGACATTTGAAAACATCTAGAACCATATCTCTATGAGAAATGGTAATTATATTTCCATAATATCACTGTAAATGAACTAGAAATGTTCTTCATGCAAAATTGCCTGCAATTTCAAGAACAGTTTCTATGTCACCACTAGAGGGATAAACTTGGAACTTGTTTTCTGAAGGAAGAAACAGTTCCCCTTATTAATCTGACAGGAACTGTATTTTTATCCTGGCGAAGACCATAGACAGTTCTAGCCAGGGCCAGCCTTTTATTCAGTCAGCAGCACTCTAGTAATCCCTTCCCTGGTATAGCAGATTGGGATTATAATTATGGCTAATCAACTCTGAACTTAATTGAACTGAAAATGCATATAGATATTGATGGTTTCAAGATGTGTTGTTTATGTTAATAGGTCTTGTGTGGCAGTTGATGAGGGCTTACACAATTAATGTTCTCACAAAGCTGGCAGAGTCTAGCACACCAGTGTCAGACAAAGACATCATATCTTGGGCCAATGAAAAGGTGCAGTACAAGAACATTTATCTTATAATATACTTATATTAATATAACTTCATTTAATTTGCTATCAGTCTTTCATGTCAAATCAGTTCATAACCAAATTATTGAAAAGAAATCTGTAGATAATCAAAGCTTCTCTAAAGTTTCTAGCTAATGTTATGTCAAACAAAAAACTAAGCTCCTGTCTACATTCATCCAAATAGGGATGACACGGTTTCCCGATATTGTCCCGTCCATCAGGACTTTGGTCTCAGGACAGACAACCATCTGGCTGATCCTTTCTGATTCAGATATACATGTTTCTTTGCTAAAGCCTCTCTACGGTTTGTCAACTTTATATCGGTGAGAATGTCGTAGTAATAATAAGCCAATTATTCTAATGAATTTGACTGTTCCTCAACTGAACAAGAATATTATTTTTTCTGCTTCCACAAGATATAGATTCTTTATTCCGCTGTTATGTACCTGAAACCTCACTTTTCATAGGTTAATAATAAGTCTCTGGCTGAATTGTCATTGTCATATCAGCATTTTTGTAGCAACTTGTTAAACCATGATAAGCTTTTATATGCCAAACATTTTATCAATACATGTATATCCAAAATTGACTCAGCTTTTATTAACCCTACACATGTCCCAAGTATTAGAATTTATGGAGCTCCTATAATATCTTGAATTGCCTATGGAGTTAATTTTCCATGGGAAAGAATGGCTGCCAGTTCAAAATACTAAAATATCCAAAGTTAGAATAATCCTAACAGTATATAATTTGCATCATGAACAGACTTTCATAAGAGGCTTCTTTCTTGAAAACACTAAGGGTTGAAAGCACCTCTTATAATCTCTTATTTCCTAACTATACGCTTGAACTTTTTCGATCTCTTATATTGACAGAAACGAAGGTATGTGTGTGACAAAGTCTATTCATTGTGCAAGTTTCATGGAATTCTGAATATTTTCATTTTTGATGTATTTTAACAGTAAGAAAATTGTGCGAACCTTTGTAGAATTGCTTGTAATCTTAATGCTTAGTCATTCTTAAATTGCATGGCTTCAATTTCCAGCTAAAGGCACATAGGATGGGTAGAGCTAGATCTAATGTCCGCAATATTGTTTTTGAAATGAACAAAACTGCAATTGACAATTGCAAACAGGTGATATTGCATGATTGTTTCATATGAAGTGCAGATATTGCAATACCAGGCTCATGGTTGGATTAAATTATCAATGGCTGGTCATATAGTACATTGCATGTATAAACATGTACTGTATTTGAGATCCCATGCATGCATTATATTTTATTTAATTACCCATAAATATTTGTTGCATCTACTCAAAATCTTGTGGTTGTGTCATCCCAATCACCTCCCTGGCAATTGGATTAATGAAATAAACAAAACACTTTATTAGACTCCAGATTGAAAATCTGGAGTCTATTGCTTTTGCCAGTTTTATTATTAGACTCCAGATGAAATCTGGAGTCTATTGTTTTCGTCAGTTTTCTTATTATTCTTTTTCTTCTTCTTATTATTATTATTATTATTATTCTAAGCAAGTTTTCTCAATAACCGTAAGGTTTTCAGTAAAGTCAGTCATTTGGTCAATTTAGGTCCAGAATCTAGTTCCTAGGAAATTGGGTCAAATTTTTATCTAGGTCAAAGGGCAAGAATTAGGTCAAATCCAGTACTTTGTCACTTTTTTCGATTTTCTCGGTCGTCCTTCAATATTTTCGATCCGGTTTTTTTTCATTGTGTTCCTTATAAAAAAGTAGAAAACCTAGGGTCGATTTAGTTTTTTGATATCTCAAACCGATTTCGAGATATCAGTGTCTGAAAACAAGGTCCAAAAAAAAGTTCTCCGAATCAAATGTCCAGGATATTAGTCATATAGAAAATTTTCTCAGGATTCCGAATCTGAAAACCAAATTTAGATCGGACTCCCGGTTCAGAAGTTATGGCGTTTTGAAAGCTCAAAAATCGCTAAATTTGGTGCCCATGTTAAGTCAATGGGAAAAAAGATTTTTTTGAAGTAAAAAATATGAAATATAGACTGAGTTTAGCTAAATATAATGAAAGCTTTTAAAAGAATGGGACCTCAAAAGCCATCTAGCTTCAAAATTTGGACACCAAAATGCCTAGGTCAAAATCTAGGTCAAATTCAAAGTTTTTCCTTATTTTTGCGATTCTTACACTACAGATTAATTATATTCTTCGAAATTGTGTATACATGTAGCCAAGAGTACGCTAATAGTGTTAGCCTTTTGCCGTCAGAAAGTATTTTGACCCACTTTTGAGATATGGTGTCCGAAAAGTAGGTCAAAATAAAAAGTTCTCCAAATTTAACGTTTGAGTTATGAATTAAGAATAGAATCTTCTCAGAAATCCGAATCTGCAAACCAAATTTCAATTCGACTTCCGGTTCCGAAGTTATGGCGTGTCCGAAAAGTAGGTCAAAATAAAAATTCGCCAAATTTAACGTATGAGTTATGAATTAGGGGTAGAATTTTGTCAGGAATCCGAATCTGCAAATCAAATTTCGATCCGACTTCCGGTTGGGAAGTTATGACGTTTTGAAATTTCAAGAAAAATCGATCTGATGGTATCCTGATAGAAAGTCAAGAGTAGAGAAGAAAATATTGAAAAATGCATCCATCCTTCCTTTCTGATCCTATCCTATCCTTCCTATCTACCCTTGCTTCGTATCCTCTCCTTCCTATCCTTCCTATTCTATCCCTTCTTCCTATTCTATTATATCATTCTTTCCTATTCTATCCTATAGTTCCTTCCTATTCTATCCTATCCTTCCTTCCTTTTTCATCCATCCATCCATTCATCTTTTTCTGGATGACTTAGCTTATTTTGGATGACTTGGCTTATTCTGGATGACTCGGCTAAAAAAAGTCTAGATCTGGAGTCTGAAATTGAACTCGTTCAATTTCCAAAATCTAGTTATTATTATTATTCTTTCCGAACCAGTTTTCTCAGCAACTAGAAGACCTTACTCAAATCTACTTACAGGGTCAGTAAGGAGATGAGATCTAGTTTCTGGGAAATTAGGTTAAATTTTTATCTAGGTCAAAGGTCAAAATCTAGGTCAAATTTATAGTTTTCCTTATTTTTACGATTCTGACACTACACTTTAATAATTTGCTTCAAAATTTTGTATACAGATAGCAAAGAGTGTGCTAATAGTGTTAGCCTTTTGCCGTCAGAAAGTATTTTGACCCACTTTTGAGATATGGTGTCCGAAAAGTAGGTCAAAATAAAAAGTTCTCCAAATTTAACGTATGAGTTATGAATTAAGAGTAGAATTTTCTCAGGAATCCGAATCTGCAAACCAAATTCCGATCCGACTTTCGGTTCGGAAGTTATGGCGTTTTGAAAGCTCAAAAATCGCTAAATTTGGTGCCTATGTTAAGTCAATGGGAAAAAAGACTTTTTCGAAGTGTAAAATACAAGATATAGACTGAGTACAGCTTAATATAATGAATGCTTATAAAAGAAGGGAACCTCAAAAGCTACATAGCTTCAAAATTTGGACACCAAAATGCCTAGGTCAAAATCTAGGTCAAATTCATAGTTTTTCCTTATTTTAACGATTCTGACACTACACTTTAATAATTTACTTCAAAATTTTGTATACAGGTAGCAAAGAGTGTGCTAATAGTGTTAGCCTTTTACCGTCAGAAAGTATTCTGACCCACTTTTGAGATATGGTGTCCGAAAAGTAGGTCAAAATAAAACGTTCTCCAAATTTAACGTATGAGCTATGAATTAAGGGTAGAATTTTCTTAGGAATCTGAATCTGCAAACCAAATTTCGATCCGACTGCCAGTTCGGATGTTATGGCGTTTTGAAATCTCAAAAATCGCTAAATTTGGTGCCCCATGTTAAGTCAATGGGAAAAAAGACTTTTTCGAAGTGTAAAGTACAAGATATAGACTGGGTACAGCTCAACATAATGAACTTTTGTAAAAGAAGGGGACCTCAAAAGCTACATAGCTTCAAAATTTGGACACAAAAATGCCTAGGTCAAAATCTAGGTCAAATTCATAGTTTTTCCTTATTTTTATGATTCTGACACTACACTTTTATAATTTTCTTCAAAATTTTATATACAGGTAGCAAAGAGTGTGCTAATAGTGTAAGCCTTTTGCCGTCAGAGAGTATTTTGACCCACTTTTGAGATATGGTGTCCGAAAAGTAGGTCAAAATAAAAAGTTCTCCAAATTTAACATATGAGTTATGAATTAAGAGTAGAATTTTTTCAGGAATCCTAATCTGCAAACCAAATTTCGATCTGACTTCCGATTCTAAAGTTATGGCGTGTCCGAAAAGTAGGTCAAAATAAAAATTCGCCAAATTTAACGTATGAGTTATGAATTAGGGGTAGAATTTTCTCAGGAATCCGAATCTGCAAACCAAATTTCAATCCGACTATCGGTTCCAAAGAAATGGCTCGAAAATCGCTAAATTTGGTGCCCCATGTTATGTCAATGAGAAAAAAGATTTTTTTGAAGTGTAAAATACAAGATATAGACTGAATACAGCTTAACATTCTGAAAGCCTATGAAAGAAGGGGACCCCGAAGCCTATCTAGCTTTAAAATTTGGACACCAAAATGCCTAGGTCAAAATCTAGGTCAAATTCATAGTTTTTCCTTATTTTTGCGATTCTGACATTACACTTTAATGATTTACTTCGAAATTTTGTATACACGTAGCAAAGAGTGTGCTTATAGTGTTAGCCTTTTGCCGTCACAAAGTATTTTGACCCACTTTTGAGATATGGTGTCCTAAAAATAGGTCAAAATAAAAAATTCTCAAAATATCCCTTATGAGTTATGAATTAAAGGTAAAATTTTCCCAGGAATCCGAATCTGCAAACCAAATTTCAATCCGACTTCCGGTCAAAAATTCCTACTTACCTACCTACCTACATACCTACTTGGCTACCAGCTACCTACTTCTCAGCTACTTGGCTACCTACTCAGCTACTTACTCAGCTACCTACTCAGCTGCTTACTCAGCTACCTACTCAGCTACTCTACTCAATTACTTAATCATCTACGTACTCAGCTTCCTACTCAGTTACTTACTCAGCTCTTTACTCAAGTAAATCAATCTGGAGTCTTAAATTGAACTTGTTCAATTTACATGTCTAGTTATATTTGTGCTTGTGAAGTTCCAGGTCTATGGTATCCTTTATTCAAATGGCATAGGCAGTATTAAGCATTTCATCCAAAAATACCCGCCTTTATTCAATAATATTGGTAGAATCAGAGTATTGATTTTCTTTTCTCTAAATGCTTCCCAGAAATCTTTTTTACAATGGAATACATGAATCTTAATATCTGATTATCTTGTGTTAGTCTATTGAGTTGAGTTGCCTGGTTAAAAGGAGGAGGAAAAGTATCGCAACAGATTTCGGACAGTCATATGTTGGATTGTGGCTATTCTCTGAGGATTTAAGCAGGTGCATATGTTAGGCCAATGCATTACCTCCAGGCAGGAAAAGCACTCCTAGAGATGATAAAATAATTTCGACTTTGAGACAGGGGAGGTGCAAACAACCCACCCACATGTTTTTTTCTGAAATGTTGTTCTGATTTTCAACCCCTTCCACCCCTGCTTTTTCAATTTTTGTTATATGAGTATGTTTCGTTTTGACACACAGTTAACCACTTTAAAGGAATAAGTGATTCCTTCAGGGGTTTTAAAGATATCCATTATGGGTGACCAAAATTAGCTGAAACCAATGGATTGCATGAGTTTTCCCTATGGGAAAATAACATTGGAAATAATGTTTTCCACCTTATCTAAAAGGAATCACTTATTCCTTTAAAGGGGTTAACTGTGTGTCAAAACACAACATATTGATGCAAGAACGCAACATACTGATGTAAGAGAAATTAAAAAAGCATGGATACAAGGGGTTGAAAATCAGGAAAACATTTCAGAAAAAACATGTGGGTGGGTTGTTTGCATCTGCCCTGTCTCAAAGTCCAAATTATTTTATCATCTCTAGAAGTGCTTTTCCTGGAGGTAATGCATTGGCCTAACATATGCACCTGTTTAAATCCTCAGAAAATGGCCAAAATCCAACATATGACTGTCCAAAATCTGTGGCGCTAATTTCCCCCCTCTTTTGAGTAATTTACATAGGAAACTAAGAACTATCATATTTATCTAAATTTTGCATCATTGCGTTTGACTTTACCTGAAGAATTTGAATTGAACTGTGTTTGTTTTCAGTTGAAGAAGAATGGCAAGAAGGGCTTCATCACAAGCTTCCAGGATGAAGTAATAAAAGATGGCATCGTTGTCATTGACCTCATAGATGCCATCAAACCACATTGTATCAAATATGAAAATGTCAGAACAGGAACAAGTGATGCGGTGAGTACAGGAACACAAAATTTAAAATGTATTTACCACATTGTATCAAATATGAAATTTATATGTTGATGTCTTCGAGTCACTGGACATCTGCTCTGCTTATTATGATTGATTTGATGAAATATGTTTTGTTAGGTGGGAGTTGCTGTTTTTTTGTAGTCTTGATATATATTTTCTGATTCAAGAGATTCTAACCATTATGATTTGGACAATTGGCTTTCAAACCATTAGGATTCATAAGAACTGAGACTATTGGTATCCAGAAGAGTGGGTCACAGACAATCGGGATTTGGACCAATGTTGCTTCCCTATTTACTCAATAAGTCTACCACATTCTTAATAAATACATATGCAATACATGGGAACCAATGCCAGCAATCCTAACCGGTTTCTGTCTTTTTAGGATAAACTTGCTAATGCCAGATATGCTATATCCATGGCCCGTAAGGTTGGAGCCAAAGTGTATGCTCTCCCAGAGGATGTTGTTGAAGGAAAGAAGAACATGGTAGGTGTCTAATTCCTTGTAGACTCTCATGCTTGGCCTTCATAACAAGCCAATGTATTTGCTCATGTAAATTGAAGAACATGGTAGGTGTCGAATTCCTTGTAGACTCTCATACTTGGCCTTCATAACAAGCCAATGTATTTGCTCATGTAAATTGAAGAACATGGTAGGTGTCTAATTCCTTGTAGACTCTCATGCTTGGCCTTCATAACAAGCCAATGTATTTGCTCATGTAAATTGAAGAACATGGTAGGTGTCGAATTCCTTGTAGACTCTCATACTTGGCCTTCATAACAAGCCAATGTATTTGCTCATGTAAATTGAAGAACATGGTAGGTGTCGAATTCCTTGTAGACTCTCATACTTGGCCTTCATAACAAGCCAATGTATTTGCTCATGTAAATTGAAGAACATGGTAGGTGTCTAATTCCTTGTAGACTCTCATGCTTGGCCTTCATAACAAGCCAATGTATTTGCTCATGTAAATTGAAGAACATGGTAGGTGTCGAATTCCTTGTAGACTCTCATACTTGGCCTTCATAACAAGCCAATGTATTTGCTCATGTAAATTGAAGAACATGGTAGGTGTCTAATTCCTTGTAGACTCTCATGCTTGGCCTTCATAACAAGCCAATGTATTTGCTCATGTAAATTGAAGAACATGGTAGGTGTCTAATTCCTTGTAGACTCTCATGCTTGGCCTTTATAACAAGCCAATGTATTTGCTCATGTAAATTGAAGAACATGGTATGTGTCTAATTCCTTGTAGACTCTCATACTTGGCCTTCATAACAAGCCAATGTATTTGCTCATGTAAATTGAAGAACATGGTAGGTGTCTGATTCCTTGTAGACTCTCATGCTTGGCCTTCATAACAAGCCAATGTATTTGCTCATGTAAATTGAAGAACATGGTAGGTGTCTAATTCTCCTTTTCGCGGTTCGCTCTTTGAATCAGAACGTTCGCAAATATGCACTGAAAAGCACTCAAAAAGGACAAAATTTGATTGGTCAATATTTTCCCACTATGCATTTCGCGTAGCTATTTGCGTGACACGAAAGTTCTAAATCAAACTAATTACTCAATTTTGTTTTTACACCCGCACGCTAAATAAAACAATGACACCATCGTAAGTATTCTTCTTTGGCATTGCTTTAATAGTCAGTATACCGAGTTTAATCAATAAAAGATTGTACAATGAACAACAAAATTCGGAAACGAGTACTATAGATTTGCTTTCGGACCACTGAACAGATTGACCTAGATAATAGCGACGCGTCTTCTTTGGTCTACTGCTCAGTTGTTTGTGGGTTTTCAACGTAACTCTATAATGTAATTCGAAGATGAATACTTTAATTAAGTTGTTGCATCGATGTCGCAGTTTGTAGTGCGGAGAGATTGGCATGAAGGTATTGAAAGTCGAATGGAATTGTTTTTCCAATATGGCGACTAGTCTACTGATCACGTGACCTTCTTTTCCGGAATATTTTCTCACTTTTCAATCATCGTTTTCACCACGCTATGAATTAATACAATGAAAAAAATAGCTGTTATATTAAGATTAATGAAAGATCAATCGTTTGTAATAATTTTTTCTGTACTCTCGTATGGGAATATGAACGAATATATCGTTTGAAAAATAGGTGTGAAAATCCCCATGTTAAACCTATGAGGGAAAATAAGGAAGTATAAATTTGTTCCTCCGCGAACTGCATCATGGGAAATATTTTGCCCTTATAAGGAAAGATTTTCGCGTCTTCTCTTTTGAAGAGGGAACAACGATTTCGAGAATTCCTTGTAGACTCTCATGCTTGGCCTTTATAACAAGCCAATGTATTTGCTCATGTAAATTGAAGAACATGGTATGTGTCTAATTCCTTGTAGACTCTCATGCTTGGCCTTTATAACAAGCCAATGTATTTGCTCATGTAAATTGACTTCTCTGTATTGTTGTTTTGTTGTTGCTTATACATGTGTTTCATTTCTCACATCTCACATCAAGTTTTTGTGCTATTTTCCTATTCTTTTATTCTTTATCGAACATTTGTACATTGCTGCAAAATTAAAGAGAAAATGTTGTTAATGATAAATAGGTAATGTAGTAATGTGCAAATATTGATATAAGTGAGTGTAGTTTTCTGATTCATTATGCTTTCAATGTGAATTTCAGGTGATGACACTGTTTGCCTGCCTAATGGCATGTGACAATGAGAGACAGACTAATGAGGACGAAAGCTAGACATCAATCCTCGCTTCCATGTTGAAAGAAAATTGAAACAAAATTATGAATTTCCTGCAGTTATGGACTCTTAAACTTAAACAATAAACATTTATCCTGCTTCCAGCTTCTATACATAATTAAACCAGAAGTTTATTTATACATTTCTACCATAGACACTACACGACAGTAAGCTTCCAATACAGATAAAGATAAATTTTAGGTGTGTGAGTGTCAATGACATTTTCATCATGCTGATATTTTTTATTTCAAATTATGAATTTGAAAGTTGTGTATTTCAATAAGAATGAATGAATCTGTTAAAGAGACTCTTAAAATAATGATGAGGTTGTGGAGAAATCAGACATATACATATACACACATAGAAATCCTATTTTTGGCAATTTATCTTAAAATATGTATTTAGAAAATTTATCAGATTTGAATTTTGCAAACAATTTATTCTGAGGCCCCATCTCCAATTATTTTTGTCAATATTGTTCTCACACCACTGGTGGAATACAGTTGTCATAATGGTGGCTTATCATTAATCATTAATTGGGCAAGTATTTCACTTTTCGTCATTGGGATTCCAGCAAAGCTGCTTGGCAGATATTCTTCAAGGTACACTCCTTAGAGTACCAAGCATTTTGTAGTAGAGCTGATGTTTTTTGGGCAGCCATTTTATTTTTTGGCAGCCATTTTAAATTATATTTCATAAATTTGTCATTGTGATTTTAGTAAAACCACATGTTTAATTTTCTGGAAATTCTTACGTAAGAGGCCCATGGTTCTACAGCTGATGAATTTTTGGGTGGCTACTTGGTGAGTTAAAAGTAATAAAAGGTCAAAAATGCACTCGGGGCCTCCTTAAAATTGCTTGTGATCTTGATATCGAAGTTATATTTAGTTTACAAATGTATACTAATTAATATAAAACCATAGGCAAAAGCTATTGTGATTTTCATTCTAATTATATATGTTGAGCAGAAACAGTTTTAAAAACTCTAAGCTTATCTCACAACCTATTTCTGTGTTACAGGTACCAGGTTTCAGTTAAGGACTAGTAGCTGGCATATTATTAAGATGTGGAAATCATAATGTCTTTTCCCTAATGTTTGAAGTGGATATGTTCCACCAATGTATTATAATGTTTAAAGTCAATGCATAGAATTTTCATTTCAGTGTATAAAACTGTGATTACAAGTGAAACTTCATACATTATAGAGTATGAGATGTGTTAACCACAAAACAGAATTTATACTGTACAAATATGCTGCTAGTTTTATATGTCACATTCCAGCTGTCGTACATGCCATATGCTTTGTGTTAAATACATGCTATTTTATAATATTCTCATCATTCTCTTTGACAAATAGTTAATAATATAATGTTGATGAATTTTAATTATCCCACCAAAGTTGGTTTAGGGATATAGAGAAACATGATCCATTATAATTAAGAGGATAATGCCTTGTGGCATAGAATCTCTGCTTTAGGGTATGAGTACCGTAATCCAACACCAAATTCGAAAATTCATATCAATACTTTGCACATATGGCGTTCGTGATCAACTTTAAAACGCTTACCCCCCATAGTGTTATATATCAAAATGTACCTGTTCTTATAGGGGTTCGATTGATCTACATCAAATTATAGGGAGTCAGGTTACTTTTTGAGATATCAGCGTCCATTTATTGTAACTCGTGTTTGCTACTATTTCCTCAATTCTGAGATGATGGGCAAACGCGTAGTAAACATGCTCACCTCGGAACTATTTTTGACCTACATCGCTATTTTCGTAATTCAAATGAAAGTTAAACTCCTCTTTATTTTGATACCAAATAGTGGCATACTAGGTACCCTAGAAGGAGTAGAAGCCAACTATGGTGTTATTTAGAACAATACTACAGGTTTCTTAAATGGACTATATAGGGGTCATACCTTTTGGCGGATGGATATGGAACCTCATACCTTAATGTTTTATGACATCACACTGATTTTTGTCTCTGCAACTTTTTTTGGCAGATAATATCATTTTTAAGTCAAAAATGCATAAACACGTCGGAACTGGCTGAATATGTAAAAAATTTATCCATTCAGGCTAGAAAGGGTTAATTTGCCCTACCCCAAATACGTCTAAATATGCTAGTCTAACTTTGCCACTGTAACGTCACAAATCTAACCTGACTATCTCTGAGTTTATTGAAGAAAACGATACGTCTGACAAACAGCTTTCATTCCCTATATGGCACACCTTCTACTAAGAGTTGCTTCATTGACTTAATGTCAATATAAAGAGTAGATGTATGAAATAATTTTGTTACGAAAAATCAGCGAAAAATTATATCCATTTATTTATTTTCAGCCATTTTAGTTAACATTGATTTGTCCATTTGTCTCGCAAAATCCACTTTTGGACCATTTACCTTAAACCCTCTGTCGATAGGATTCCCATTTTAAGTTAATTTTGTTCAGCATCAATACAAAAAACTCTCCTATGACTCTTGGTTCAAAAGCTCGCCTATTTTCAAAATGGTTGCCATTCTTGTTTCGCGAAATTCACTTTTTGCCCATTTCCTAGCTTTACAAATAATTTCAGCTGTCCTGCATTGTAAAAAGCCATGCATTGTAAAAGGTAGTTGTATGAAATAATTTTGTTACAAAAAATCGGCAAAATATTATATCCGTTTTTTTTATTTTCAGCCATTTTAGTTAACATTGATTTGTCCATCTGTCTCGCGAAATCCTCTTTTGGACCATTTGCTTAAAACCTCTGTCGATAGGATTCCAGTTTCAAGTTATTTTTGTTCAACATCAATACAACTGTCGCACGGCATGTAAATTATTGCCCGGACAGACGAACTAACGAACGGACGGCTTTCCTATATCCTTCTCGAACTTCGTTCGGTGGGATAATAACAAATAGTATAGGGTAGATGCTTCGATTTTGGGAGCATATCGGCTTATCAGTTTGATAATCAACTTCATACCTTGGTAATCCAACATGAATTGGGAATTCATCAAGAACTATGAGAGAACAACGTGCTTTTAAAAAGGGAAAGTGAGCAATTCTGTGATACCCTAAGCATATTGAATTGATATTCATGTACACAACCATTAATGTTATGTTATTGCATTTATTTTATTCATAATCTTTATAATAGGTACACAATTAGTACATATTTATTATAATGTATGAATATATTTAATATTAAATAAATATGGTGAATTTGGCTATGGGTAAGGTAAAACACAAGGGTGATGAAATTTAAGCAAACTGATATTTTCATATTTTCCGAAAGATCTGGTCTAGTTCCTAGATATTTTTATATGTAAATGTCTGTAACAACATCCAAGACAGTGAACTTGGCAGTGAATTTCATAATTAAACTTCCACAAACTCCCAACTCAACACAAGGAATGTGAATTTGCGTTATACCGTATCTTAGGTATATGTGCCAGCGCGTTATACCGTATTCTGGTACAATTGGAGTTGTGTACGTGTATTATGAAATTCACCGTCAAGTTCACTGTCTAGGATGTTGATACAGACGGACATGTAGCCTATATTAAATCTATCTAGAAACTAGACCAAAACATTCTGAAACGATGAAAACATCAGTTTGGTCAAATCACATCATGATCGTGTTATACCTTACCCCTTGCGTTCAATTGTTACGCTTAATTTGGTGCACATCCAGTGATAATATGTCTGAGTTGAGTTTACAACGTCAATTTATCACATACGAGGGTTGATCATAAAGTTCTCATAATATCTCTCTAATTTCTTTGTTTTTCAATAATTTCCTATGAAATTTTCACAGAATGTGCAGCATGGAATGTTTTATTATTCTAGCAAAAAGATTAAGAATAACATAAACATCAAATAAGAAATGGTTGCCATAGTCACTTGAAATCAAGGCACCCGGGGCAAATAAAAAAACTAGCTAGAATAGCCCCCATTAACCATGTTTAAATACATATTAAGTTGTCAAATAAGCTATCAAACACATTAAATTGTCAAATAATATGTGCTCTTGATCGTTGTGAACTATTATAATGGTCATGTGGATTGTGTGATCTCATAATGGATGATTGCTATGCTTCATTAGAAGTGACTGTTAGACCCCATGAATGTTTTGTCAAATATCCCGAGGAAAATTGATTTTGCCCCTTTAGTTCAATTTTAACATATACAGACCACACACAAAGTGTAATTTTGTTGATATCTAGCAATATATTTGTTTTAGATCATGTTTAGTCTGACCAAAGGATCTTACAAACTTAACATAACATTTTATCAGTATGAATTTTATTTTTCTGAAGATCTCTGCATCCATTGCATTCTCTTACTCAGTCATTTCTGATCATTAGCTTTGAGTCTCAGACTGTGGTATCACATCTAATGAAGGATGAAATCATCCCCTATGGCATCACACAATTTACACGATCAATTTATATCATTGTTAAAGCACTTAACAACGTATCCAAGTTAACATTTTAACGTGTTTTGTAATTCACGAGAGAGTTTATTATGTATGCAAACATGGTTAATTAAGCTCATTCTCTCAATTATTTTTATTTGCCCCGGGTGCCTTGATTTCCTGTTACTATGGCAACCATTTCTTATTAAATATTTCTGTTGAACTAAATATTTTTTGCTGAATTAATAAGACATTCTATGCTGCACAATCTGTGAAAATTTCATGAGAATATATTGAAAAACAAAGAAATTAGAGAGATATTATGAGAACTTTATGATCAACCCTCGTATATCATTAAATTTAAAGCTATTCCTATAGCAACGCTCATTGGCAATAATCTGTGACGTCATGGGTCAGAATTTTAAGTTAATTGCAAATTGCGTGATCACGGGGGTAAAGCAGACCCGATGATTAAATGTCTTCCAACTGGTGCAATTGTTTGTTTGCAACGTCAACGTAATAAAATGGAGGAAATACCTTACTTAGTTTACACAAAGCTATCTCCTGAGATCTAAAGATGGCTATGTGCAAATATAGTAAGAAATACCCGAGTTATTATTCCAAGCATTGACGAGTCTAAAATATTTCCAATGTTACTTTGACGTGGACTAACATCAATGTAACAAAAGCTCGGGATTAGATGTATTAATTGCAGATTATTCAAAGTCCCAAACGTGTCTGTATTCTAACTAGACTATTATCTCCAACTTGACCAAACTATAATTTGCAACTAATCAAGGTTCTTAAGGTTATATCCAGATCTGTGGGAACCCTGATCCTATGTCATTTTTTTCATCATGGTGATCTTGAGATGTGATGTATCATGATCGATTCACTTCATCATAATCTTTGAGCGTTGTCTGCGCAACATGTCTCTGAGTGTGTTTCCTGCAGGATAGCTGCTACTCTCATTGTCTGAGTCATCTGAAACGTATTGAACAATGGGATCAATTTTGAATTTGCAAACATTTTAAAAATGTCTTATGCCAGTAAGCCATCATCTCATAAACTTTAAACTAAACCTGAAAACTGGTAGTTGATTTAACATTTTGAATTGAGCACCGTTTTCATATTTTAGGACCCCCAAAGTTTGACGTTCTTTTATTTTTTGGTTGGTATTTGGTGAAGTGGATGGAGTGAGATGCATGGAAAAGTACAGATTTATTACGGCAGTGGCGTAGAAAAGTAAAATGGTTAAAAGTACCTAAAAACTGGGCTCAAAATGTATTAAATCATATCTCTAGTTAAGCTGACTTCACAATGTCATCGGGAATTCTTAGAATTCAATGAAATTATTTTGAGAGAAAATGCTGCTTTCTTACCTTCTGAATTGTCATTGGAGCACTGAGGGGAGTCGGGGGAAAACTCTGGTGGTTTACCAAGACTATAATTATTCTCACTCCCATCATGACGTTTCCTTTGTTGCAGTATAGCAGTAAGCTGGACGGCACTCTGTGTCTTATACTGGAAATATATCATGTTTCATTTGTACACAGTACTGTTGTTATAATTAGAACACGTAAGACTAGCCTGCAACATTTACTTTACCTTTAACACAAGCAAAAGAGAAGAAAATGACCATGAGGAACACTATCTTCATATGAACAAAATCTCGGGTGTTGGTTACACATTACAATAACTCAAATAATGGTAACAAATCATAGCACCAATTCCTACATACAAACGGTACCTCGTGTGATGATCACAAATTATAGCACCATATTTCTATATTAAAACAATACCTCAGATGATGGTAACAAATTATAGCACCATATTCTTACAATTAATCAATACCTCAGATGATGGTGACAAATCACAGCACCATATCTCTATTTTATTACAATACCGTGGATGGCATATATAAATTAAAGCACCATATTCCCTCATTAAAACAATACCTCAAGTGATCGTTTGAAATCATATCACCATTATCCTTCACTTAACAATACCTAACAAATCATATCACCATACAGGGTGTCCAAAAAACAGGACCGTAAGAAAGTTGAATAATTGGGTCAAATTTGCTTATTTTGCCTTGAAATTTTAGAATTATTTAGTTCATTCAACGCGAATTTGGTTCTAGATGTTTAATGATAATCTGGCTATTGTGTCAAAAACTACAATTACCTTACAAAACATGCTCGAAGTGGGCTTTTCTCTCTATGCATAAATGAATCCTGTGAACAAAGTTGTTAATGACCCTTACCTATACACATTAATGTGGAGGGTATATATTGGGATAGTTATTGCCCTCTTAAGATTGTTAGGGGCCTATCAGTATACACATTGGCTTTGAGAAATCCCCAAAGATAAAATTTTGGGAGATTTAGAACTGGCGAATGAGCTGCCCATATTGTTTGCGTTCTGCGACTGATGAGCTGACCACCAAATCATTACCTAAACCATTTCAGCATATCATTTGCAGTGTTGGTGCTTTGTTCAGAATGCAATGGATGTTGTAACACTTCATCGGGAGGATGTAAGCCCCAGTAGCAATTGTTCTCGGAATAAAATTGTCCATTCAGCAAAAAATGTGTGCAGGGCATGTAGGGGGATCATCAATAACTGCTCGACGGATTGAATTGTGCATAAAGAGGAGAGGTGCACATTTGGGGCATGCTTGTAAGGAACTGTAGTTTTTGACTCGATAAGCAGATTATTATCAAACTTTCACAACAAAATTCACATTAAATAATTCCAAAATTTCAAGGCAAAATTGACCGAGTTATTCAGCTTTCTTACGGTTCTGTTTTTTGGACACCCTGTACAAACGATACCTCGTGTGATGGTCACGTATTATAGCACCATATTTCTACATTAAACAATACCTCAGATGATGGTTACAAATTATAGCACCATATTTCTACATTAAAACAATACCCCAGGTAATGGTAACAAGTCATATCATCCAAACACCCTACTTCCAAACGGTATCGTGTGTGATGGTCATGGATTATGGGACCATACTACTATGAAAATAATGATGGTAAAAAATCATATTACCACCATCTTCCTTCATCCAAACGATTCATCAGGTGATAGTCATAAACCATAGGGTCACATTGTTAAAAAACGCAATACAAACTATAGCACCATAGCCCATACCTTTGGTTTAAAGTAATACCTCGAGTGAATTGTCTTCTTGTTCAGTAATCTCTAAATTGTCACCACTTTCGCCAAGCTCAATCTTTTTTAGTCTAGTTTCTAAGATTGCCTTCAATCTTTTACTGCTGACAACATTGTCCCACTAATATAGAATATACATGAAATCATTTACTAACTTTATCATCATAGATATCTAAATTGCACCAAAAAGTGCAATATGTATTTGAAACTTTGATTCATACAATTATGTTATTAAGTTATTTGACACGACTTTCTAAAAATGTGGGGCAATTCTCCATTGATGCAGTGGTAAAATTCTTTAAAACCTTGGTACAAGTATTTTGCCCTGGGTGACATCACATCGGGTTACCATAGCAACCATGATATCGGTAATCAAATAGTTGAACCAAGTGTTCGTTGAATCAATATACTCGATATAACTGAGTAATGTTTTGGAAACAACTCTACAAATAACGAGGTATAGTATGGCAACTGATTTTAGACAGTCATATCTTTTACCATGAGTACGTTCTCTATAAATGACATTTCTCATTATACTCCAGTAAAATCGTTGTAAATTTTCACAAATAAATGAAAAAATTGCAACACAGAGTAAACCTAGTGTAATCAATAGCCATTGGTAAGTAAAACAACATATCAAAAATCTAGAAAAATCTAAGTGGTGGAAAACCTTAAAATCACCATTTATACCCCTTGGGATAATTTTATGAGGGGGTAATATGATAATCATTAATAATTTCTGTTACATAACTCTAAATCACTATAAAATTTTCAGGGATCAGGCGCCTATATATTGTGAGTTGTCAGGACAATTTTGAAATTAATTGGTCAATTGGTTACCATAGCAACGCAATTTATTTGCCCAAAATCTTAAATATTTCAGGTAAATCTGAAGCTTCTTTTAATAACAGATGTTGCCATTTCTCTTCAAATCATTTGAAAATGAACATTAAACTACCCTAAAAACATATTTGAGGAGTGTTAAATAAGATAACATGATAAATGTGATAAATTGTATGATATCTTTGACCCTGAACTCTATTATATTAGGTGACTACCTCTCTATCTACTCAAAAGTTGGCGTGGCACTTTTCAGTGATAATGTCCTAAAACAGTTATTTTTACAAAATCAGTCAGTTATATTTATAGGGCTCATGGATACGGATGTTATTCTTTAATATGGTGAGTCTGTACATGATTGGTCAAGGGGTTGCCATAGTAACACAGAGCATAATAAACGCAAATAGTGTAGTGCATATGTTCTGAAAAAACTTATAACATAGAATATGATTCAACCCCCAGCGTATATGGTGTCCTTCAATACCAAGAACATGTCATCCAATAGTCTAATATGGTAGAACCTGAGACTATAGAATAGTTCAAAAGAGCCTAAGTTGGTTCAGCCTCCAGAGTATATAGATGATACAGCCTCAAGAGTATAAAATTAGTGCAGTCTCAAGAATCTAATATGATACAGCCTCAAGTAGTATATGTATTCAGCATCCAGAGTCCAAGATGATATAACATTCAGAATCTAAGATTGCTATAGTAGTCAGAGCCTAGAATCAGTACAGCCTCCATAAGTCTAAGATGGTATAGCCTCCAGACCCTTAGATGGTACAGCCTCCAGATATAACATGGGATCAGTCTCCAGAGTATAAGATGGTACAGCTTTCAGAGGCTATGATTGCTATAGCATTCAGAGCCTAGGATTGGTACAGCCTCCATGAGTCTAAGATGGTACAGCCTCCATGAGTCTAAGATGGTACAGCCTCCAGATATAACATGGAATTAGTCTCCAGAGTCTAAGATGATACAGCTTCAGAGGCTATGATTGCTATAGCATCCAGAGGCTAAGATAGGCACAGTTTCCACGAGTCTAAGATGGTACAGCTTCCAGATATAACATGGGTTCAGTCTCCAGAGTCCAAGATGGTAGATCCGTCAGATCATTTGATTGCTATAGCATTCAGAGCCTATGATAAGTACAGCCTCCAAGAGTCTTAACATGTACAGCCTCCAACCCTTAGATGGTACAGCCTCTCGATATAACATAGGACCAGTTTCCAGAATCTAAGATGGTACAGCCTTCAGAGCCTAAAATGGTTCAGCCTCCAAAGTTGAAAATGGTATAGCCTACGACTAATATTAACAATTAGAGTCTAATATGGCCTCAGGAGTTTAATGGGTACATCTACAGTACTTCTATAATGGCTACAACCTTCAATTCCAAGAGTCTAAGTTGACCCAGCCTCTATAATTTAAAATTGATACAGCCTACAGAGTCTTATATGGTACAACATCCAGAGTATAATATGAATTCAACCCCCAGAGACCAATATGGCATAGCTTCAGAGTTAAATTTGGATTCAGCCTCTAGGGCCAAAGATAGTACAGCCAAAATAGTCTATGGTTTCTATGAAAGTCAAGAGTCAAAGATAGGTACAGCCTCCAAGAGTCTAAGATAGTACAACCTACAAGAGTCTGAGATGGTATAGCCTCCAAGAGCCTAATATGGTGTAGCCTCCATAGTCTACAATGGGTACAGCCTCCTAGAGACTAGGATGATATCGCCTCCAGAGTCTTCAATGGGTATAGTCTCCAGAGTCAAAAGTGGTATAGCCTCCAGAACCTTTGATGAGTTCTTGGAACAGCCTTCGAGAGAAGATGGTACACCTTCCAGATGCAGAGTTAACAATGGGTACAGCCTCCAAGAGTCTACAATGGGTATAGCCTCCAGAGCTTCTAGTGTTTAATGGGTACAGCATCCATAATCTAGGATTGATACAGCTTATATAGTCTAAGTTGATAAATCTTCTAGAGTCTAAGATGTCAAGAATCACAATTTTGCCACATATAACATCAATATGTGATTAATAAATACTATAAGATGGTACAGCCTCTAGAGTTTTAGAGGTTGTAGACTCTAGTGTTTAATGGGTACATCCTCTATAGTCTACAATGGGTAGAAAATCCATAATCTAAGATTGATACAGCGTCCAGGGTCTAAGTTGGTACATCTTCTTGAGTCTAAGATGTCAAGAATCACCATTTTGTCACATATAACACCAATCTGTGATTAATTAATAGGTCAGGAAATGCTTAGACAGATGGGCGGGCAGACGAACAAACAGAGCAGTATTTCAAGAAACAGCATTATTAGTTGTGTTACCATAGCAAACGCATATCAATATTATCCAAGCCTGTATTTGTTAAAAAAGATCATACACTAAAACAGTTCTTAAGGATGAATGTAATAAATAATTAAGATTAACAAGGATTGCCTGAAATGACCTCTACCCACGATTCACATACAATATGTTGTGTTACTATGGCAA